GGTATGAATCTCTAGGGTAGGCAGAGTAGAGAAAGCCTGGCTCGCTCCATGCTTATGTCTCACTCTGAGACAATGCAGGTAAGCATGGGAAGAGTTCTGGAGTTTTGGGGTTTCACATCCATGACACTTTTCACGCAAACATAGGTATGTATCTCTTGCTACAGATACACACATAATTTCGAGCACATTCGACGAAGCAATTGTGAATCTCAACCTTGTCTTACTTTTCAAACATGGCATGGTAGATGAAAGATATTTACAGGTATCTTTGACCATTTACCATCGATATCTTTCCTTTTCTCTAATCAAACCACTAAGCAGTCTGCAAGTACACTTGTTCCATTCGCAGCGCTACTTCTTATTACAACTGACATTAGCGAGATGTCCAAAGCAGCTCCTACCTAACAATGAGTCGAATGTACAAGACGAGGCTCTGGACGGGACATAGGGAACTGTCTGGAAACTGGTAAAGACTGGATTTCAGGAGGGTTAAAAACTGATGGATGGTGTTTAAAAAACGAAAGTTAATCCAAATATATCCGAAGTGTTTGTGTTCATTAGGACGGGAGGTAGCGGGTATCTGCGGGTAAGTTTATCTTCATCAGATGTACTCCCAACCGCTTTGTCACGATACGTGTAGGTAGATAGGTACGAAAGGTAGATAGGTAAGAAAGGTATCTCAGGTACACTCAAGTGAGGTACATGTTGTATTAATGATCTGGTCACTACTGGTGCAGCTGTCAAAAGTACCATGAATGTAGGTTGAGGTAGGTATGCAGTCGGTGCCGATGAGCATTTGCACATTGCCTCGGCCCGTCGGTTCCCGGATTCCGGGTCTTCGGGATTTGGCGACCGTTCGGTAATGCAAGATGCAACATGCATCCCTTCCCCCCAAACTCTTGTGAAAAGCTTGTTTCAGCCTTGGCTGCCCGAGCCTAGAGGTACCTTTTGCGGCTGTGCATAGGGTCTAGTGTCTACCTTACTTTTGCTGCTTGCCTAGAAAGGCAAGGTCCAGAACATGGAAGATGACTCTTTGAGATCGCTTGAGGCTTGGGGTTCACTAGGGGGGGGGGGGGGGATCTTGGCTTTCACCTAGGTCTTATGACCATTGGATCTTCTGCAGCAGAGGGGATGCCACCGAGGTCATCACGGAACGGGACGAACAGGGTAAACGGGAGAAGAGAAAAAAAAGGGTAAGGTAGCTTCGGATGTCGGGAGATGCACAGGCTATGCAGCTGTCGAGCGGTAGTGTCAACCTTATTTCTGGGGACTGCTTAAACTTTATTTTGACGAGACTCGATCTGGAGTGTAATGTTAATATTAAAGTATGCTAATCCTCCCCATATTCACATCGTCAGATGAAGTTGAGTTTCGCAAAATTGTCACTTGGCTCTCACCTCGACATCTCCTATATAATCTTGCAATCAAGATTAACTAAACTGCGGTTGAAGACTGTGTTTGTTCGCAAAGCCTTCCTGTTGGCATGTACTTACCTGTCGTCGCCATAAATTCTGCGTCGATGGTTTTCTCGACCTGGACACTCCTTCGTCGCTGTTCTTCCCTGGCCCCAAATCAGCCTGCAGCATGTCCCACCACTTCGTCGGAACTTGAACACCCGCTGAAGCCTTTCGCAAAGCGTGTATATATCCCTTGCCAATGTCTTGCTCATCACAGCAAGGTGCAATGCATGATGAGCATGTCGAATCCACAAGTTGCATCAAAATCCACAAACCCAATTTGCACAAGGTCGTACAATGCACAGCATACATTGCGCAAATCGATTAACGACATGAACGCAATCTATGTACTACCATTCTGTGCGTCGAAAACAGGGTGTCTGAGCGCAAGCAACGTGGGACGTGGTCAAAACGAAGAAAAACGAAACAGTCGTTCATCCGGTCTCCAGAAGTGCATCTAGACTTTCGTGGAGTTCGCATTACTCCAGGTTTTTTTTTTGCGAACCAATGCGATCGAATGGGGCGGTGCACGCGTTCCCCAGATGCTCCCCCAAAGAAAACCTCCCCAAGGTCACATGTGCCCCGGACTGAGTGGAGGGTTTTGCGGGGAGAAAACTGGAACTGGAACTGGAACTGGCTCGGGTATCGGTCGGGGGTCGCAGTTCTTGGTTGCGAGGGAGCCGGGCGCAGAGACCACCAGGTAGGTGGGTCGGGCCATGGCATCTGGGCCTGGGGAAAGACAAGGCACCTCACTGGGGCTTAGGCTTATCTCCACCACCACCGCCATCCATGTTGTTCCAGACTTCCAGTCCATCGATCGAGAAGACCAGTCTATTGCTTTCAATTCATCGAGATGGCAATTGGACGAGTGCTTTGCGAAGAAGGAGGCGAAAAACCCATAGCTCCATCGCTAACATTCAGAACTTCCAGCATTTTCATAGAGGTAATCATGCGGACTGAAACAAGTCGTGTTTTCCAGGGCTCAACTGAAACCTGAACGGCCTCTCTCCAACTAAAAAGTCCAGGCAGGCTTCCGTTGTCTTGAGCGGGCAGTCCCAGCAGTTCGCATTTGCTCCTCTCTGTTCTGTCTGCGCGCGGGCGCGAGCATCAAAGCTTGAGTCTGGGGTCTCCATTCCCCAACACCTGCTGGATCTTTCTTTCATTCGTTTCCCCAGATGCTGCACTTCATATGATGTCATGTGGGCTGGATACCTTACCAGCGAACAGGAACCAGATCGAATCGAAACAGAGTATGTAGCAAAAAATAGCTTCATTGCAACCCGACCCGGTTGGCTGTTGGTTGTGTGGGCGTGCGTGGTCTGGACCTGGAGCATACATATGAGACTTTTGGGAGATGGAAATGGGGAGACACAACATCACATCGGAGGGTTTCCACAAGTCCACAGCACAGCACAAGACGCAGCCCCGACCGTTCTTTCCCTTTGGGGTGAAACCGTTGACGCTCGATCTCGCTACGATGGAGATGGCGATCGAAAAATACCGTGACAATATCCAGATGTCCAAACTGGAACTCTGGGGGGAGGAGTCAGGTTCCAGGTTGGGGTGCAAGTTAAGCCGGGAGGTATGTAACAATAAGAGCGGAGGAGGCTCCTCTTGTTTTCTCCACGCATCGAGAAAGATACGGTGTGGACTCCTGGTCGCTATTGCCTGCTGGCCAGATGGCACACGCGAGGCACAGAACCGACCGGTGGGCAGAAACCTGGAGAAATGTCAGGGGCACGAAAAAGAATGCACCGGGGTTCGACCAAAAATTTTTGGGTTTTCTGACGAAAAGGGAGGAGATATACCGAAATATCCGAGATAATATCTGGGGTGTGGTGGATGGTCCGGATTCTTGGGGAAGAATGATACACAGGCACGCGAGACAACGTTTGCTATCGGCCCTTCTCCATGTCCTGCTGATCGTTTCTTTAGTAGTATCGGATCTCAGTGCGAGATTAGATTCGGGTGCGAGATCAGATTCGGGTGGTTCGTCCGGTGTTTTGGTTCCTCCCCATGTTTTTGCACTTGTTTACCGACAGTTGTGGTTGTTGTTGTTGTTGCTGTTGTTCGGGATGTTGTTGTTGAATTTTCCTCTCACAAAACCCTTACTGCCCGGATTTTCCTAATCGCGGATGTCTCGGAGCGAGACCGTTGGAATAAGATATCGCTTGGTTCACCCGGGGCTCTCATCATGGGACATGTCGTTGACTCGTTAAAAGTTTACACACACTCTGGTGTGGAGCAGCTGGCGGTTCGGTGGTGCACGACTTATCAGCTTCTTTCGGCGGCTTCCAGATCGTCGTCAAGCTGCCAGGAGGTCACCGGTTTTTCAGAGTTTTTCGTCGTCCAGGAACCTGGAGCGTTCTGGAGGGGAGGCGAGTCATTGATGCTTGACCGTCTCGCGGATACTGCGAGCTGGTTGGTGTTTTGTACAAGAACCCATCAGCCGGGAACTCCACCAGTTCATCCACCGCACATCCACCGCACATCCACACCGGAGCCACACGGCGCCACAAAAGGACCGAGTTTTGAAAAGCCCATCTGGTCTTCTTCTTGAATTTAGCCTAATTAGCTTTCATTTTACCCAATTGGCCCTCCTTACGTTACCTGACGCATTCCGGTGGATTCTCCTCGGGCGTTTGGTCTCTTCTGGGCCTTGAAGCCATCGCGGACCCATCGCCCCCTGAGCTATCCCGCACGGAACCCTAACCCGGATGCGCTTCTGTTTACTTTTCAGCGGGTCTGCAACGACCCCATCACAACCCCATGCTTTCCCATCCGACTGGGTCTTCCCCAGCCAGAGTCTAGATTCTCTGGGGATGGGCCTGGGGGGACTCCATTGCCATGAGGCTCTCCGGTGGCTTACTCCACACTCGCAAGCCACATTCAGCAGCCCTCAGCGAGTCAGACACTCTCCTCCTCCAAGGCGGCTGGCGGTCCCTCCCACTGCATCCCCATGAATTCCAATTTCCCCGGCCTTTGCCTTCCCATGTCTCCCCGGGGGTTCGCCCAGGATGATCCTACACGGGGTTGGATGAGAGGTTCGAGGCCGTCTCGGAGTGCTTGCACACTAGCTCTGCATCTTCCTGCCCAAGTGCTGACTTCGCCTCCCCGGGCATCCATGCTTCCACAGCGCCGCCAGGGCCGGACTTGGGCGGGGATGGTCCGTAAGCATCTGGTCCAGTTTCTTGGTCTCGTGACAGTTTGAAGTCGTTCGCGATGCCGAAAGACGAACAGGAAATTGTCGGTGACCCCGGATCCATCAACAAATTCTCGGTAGATCTGGGGGCGAAGGGGAGAGAGGGAAGAGTGGACACTGACAGGACAGGAAGCATGCAGTACATAAAGACAAAGCTTCGTCGTCTCGAAAGAAGCTTTTCTGTCATTCCTTAGCTGCATCATTATCTCCATCATCCTGACGCGACATTGCAATCTCTTTGCATTTCTTCTCCCGTCTTCCCGGAAACCTTTTCCCAAGAGAAACACTCGACAAGAACACTACCAAGACGACAGACACATCTCGACACAGCGACAAGTAAGATGGAGCACGATCACTCCGCCTCCGACATTGAAAAGGAGGCCGTCACTGTGGCCCGGCCACAGGGCGATGTCACCCGCGTTGAGGCTCCCGTTACCCTCAAGGCGTACATGATGTGCGTCTTTGCCGCTTTCGGCGGTATCTTCTTCGGCTACGACTCAGGTTACATCTCTGGTGTCATGGGCATGAAGTACTTTATCGAAACTATCAACGGACCCGGCGCCACCTTCCTGCCTTCCAAGGAAAAGTCGCTCATCACCTCCATTCTCTCTGCCGGTACCTTCTTTGGCGCCCTCATGGGCGGTGATCTCGCTGACTGGGTTGGTCGTCGTCCTACCATCATCTTCGGCTGCCTCGTCTTCATCGTCGGTGTTGTTCTCCAGACTGCCTCCCAGAGCTTGGGTCTCATCGTTGCCGGCCGTCTCGTCGCTGGTTTCGGTGTCGGTTTCGTCTCGGCCATTATCATCCTGTACATGTCTGAGATCGCGCCCCGCAAGGTCCGCGGTGCCATGGTGTCCGGCTACCAGTTCTGCATCTGCCTGGGTCTGCTCGTGGCCTCGTGCGTTGACTACGGCACCCAGAACCGCCCCGACAGCGGCTCTTACAGAATCCCGATTGGTCTCCAGATGGCCTGGGCCCTCATTCTTGCTACTGGTATCTTCTTCCTTCCTGAATCCCCTCGCTTCTTTGTTAAGAAGGGCAAGCTCGACAAGGCCGCCGGCGTGCTCTCCCGTCTGCGCGACCAGCCGCTCGATTCCGACTACGTTAGGGATGAACTTGCCGAGATCGTTGCCAACCACGAATTTGAAATGACCGTCGTCCCCTACGGCAACTACTTCCAGCAGTGGGCCAACTGCTTCCGCGGCTCCATCTGGCAGGGCGGTTCTTACCTCCGCCGCACCATTCTCGGCACTTCGATGCAGATGATGCAGCAGTGGACGGGAATCAACTTTATCTTTTACTTTGGCACCACCTTCTTCCAGCAGCTCGGCACCATTGACGACCCCTTCCTGATGTCTCTGGTCACTACTCTTGTCAACGTCTGCTCTACCCCCATCTCCTTCTACACCATGGAGAAGCTCGGCCGTCGTACCCTCCTCATCTGGGGCGCTCTCGGCATGCTGATCTGCGAGTTCATCGTCGCCATCGTTGGTACCTGCAAGCCGGATGATACCATGGCCATCAAGGCCATGCTCGCCTTCATCTGCATCTACATCTTCTTCTTTGCTACCACCTGGGGCCCTGCTTCTTGGGTCGTCATCGGCGAGGTTTTCCCTCTTCCCATTCGTGCCAAGGGTGTTGCCCTTTCCACCGCCTCCAACTGGCTCTGTAAGTCTTTTTTTTTTTTTTTCTGTCCTGCTACCTTTTGAAAGTCTTTCTCAAAAATAGTTTGACTAACCTTTTTCCTCTTGTTTAGGGAACTGCATCATCGCCGTCATCACTCCCTACATGGTCGACGAGGACAAGGGCAACCTGGGCCCCAAGGTGTTCTACATCTGGGGTGGCCTCTGCACCTGCTGCTTCATCTACGCCTACCTGCTTGTGCCCGAGACCAAGGGCCTCACCCTCGAGCAGGTCGACCAAATGCTTTCCGAGTCTACCCCCCGCACCTCGGCCAAGTGGAAGCCTCACACCACTTATGCTGCTGAGATGGGCATGACCGAGAAGACTGTTGCTGGCCACGCTGAGAACCGCAGCGATAGCGAGTAAAGAAAAGAAAAAAAACACAAAACCAGAAGAAAGAAAGATGGATGGATGAATGGATGGACGATACCCCGATGTTTGTATGGTTGAAGGAACCATCACACTCACTGCAAAGTGGTGGGGATGGGATGCATATCTTGCTTTTAATTGTTTTTTTTTTTTTATTTTTTTATTTTTTTGTCAATTTGGTTAGCATTTACGCTTTGCATGAGCAGCATGAGCAGCATGAGCAGCATGAGCATTCCAAGCGGGTTTATACTTGGGATACAAAACGGGGAGGGAAGGAATTGGGAAAACGGATTGCTCCTCTCTTTGGGATATATTTCTTACCTAATGTTTACAAGACAACCTCTGAAATGAGAAAGTTGATCACTCACAACATGATTCCGCTCGCAACTTTTGGACATGCGTGACTGACATATCCACCCAACGCCGCGCTGCCGATCGCCCCGTCCTTTTTTTTTTTTTTTTTTTTTTTTTTTTTTTTCCCTTTCCAGGTAACTTCTTCTTTGTGTGATGTTGAAGTGACGGATGAATGATTGGTTTATCCCCTCCTGAAGTTGGAGTGGAAGTTTTCCTTGGCAGAGATCAACATTTTCCAAGCCCTTTCTAGGTATGACTGCCAAGATAAGGCACTGTTGGAATAGTACTATACTAGCCGGCTCTGCCGGTGTTGCCTGGCTTCACGTGCATTGTTTGGGGCCGTGTTATTTGGACACAGCTGAACTGTACGGTCATTCCGTCGAATGCCGACAGAACATGGCTTAACAGATGCTAACCAATGTACAATTGATCAACGGGACACTATGATTTGGCAGAACCAAAACCTGGTTTCCGAATGTGAGAGAAGAGTTTAAACTCAATTGAAAAATCGGTAAAGCGCTCTGAGGTCCTTTTCCAAAGTAAGGGAGCATGGGATTAAGTAATGGGAGCATGCACCCGCCGCTCAAGTTGCCATGTTAAGCTCTGTTTGTCTCTTTTCTGCCACCAGGGGACTGGAGCTCGGAGGATCCGTTCGTGCGCACAGTTCAGTGTTTGTACACTAACCGCGCAAGCTGAGTGCCGTGTAAGTCGCGCATCTGAACCAATCACAGCAACGTGATTCGACACCACTGACGCAATTTATTCTCCTTTTCCTCCAGCCAACCCGGCCCACATCTTTTCTCCTCTCAACAAATCAAGCGCTTCTTCACTCTTCCACAACAACAAACAAAGCACACAGTTTCCAGTGCCCCCCCATTTCCACACGTTATTGAAACTGGATAACCGGTTGATCTCCCGCTTTGTTCATGAATTCTGGCGCATCTGGTTGGCCCAAGGCCTCCAACTCACCCCGATTGGGAAATGGTCTCAACCGTTTTGTTTGCACGGACATCTCGGCGATGATGTCAACAAGCGCTGGATCCAGTGACCTCATCAGCCAGCTGAGCCCTCTATTTGGGAAAAGCTGGGGTCCACTGAGGTCATAGCCTTACCATGAAGCGGACAGCCCGGCTCATGGGAATTTGGGTATTCCGGATGCTCACTTGTGAGGACCCCTTCCTTATATGTTCCTTGAAACGAAGGGATGGATGTGGAAGCATGGAAAGTATGACGCTGCTGCACGTCAGGACCGCATTGCACCCATTGGCATCCATGGTAGCGTCGGTACCTACTTATTGCCCTGGGGGAGGACTGTTTCTACTCTCAGACATCTTCTTGGTTTCCCTCCTCTTTAATTGATCACTTCCCGTCTGTCATCCCATCCCCATCTCCCATATACCGCACATCTTGACGCCAATCACGATATTTTTTTTTCCTTTCTTTTTCTACATCCATCCCCCCAAACGTTCTGTGAGCCTGCTTGTGCCTAGATCATTAGCGCAGGGATATCAATTGGCTTGTGTTTTGTCTTGTCTCATCTGCTTCGTACCTTACCAATACCACATCTCCCATTATCAAGCTACCTAATACATCACCCTATTACTACGCTATCTACCTACGACTCCTCGATAATACAAACACAAGATGGCTACCACACACCGTGACCATCTTCCGGGCACCTACCCCGACTCTAACCCGGCCACCCCCAACGAGCAGGGCCTGGCGCCGCAGAACCAGAGCTACATCCAAAGCCACGACCAACGAAACAAGCTTCACAAGTCCACCGACCCCCGCTCCCATAACTTTTCCGACGCCCGCCTCGGCAACATCGAGTCCCAACCCATCGGAAACGAGGCTAACATCAGCCAGAGACACTTCAACCGTGACTATTCTGGCGAAGCCGTCGGTGGCGGCTTCTACAACCATGACAGCGGTCCGACCATATTCAACTCCCAGCACCCGCGTGTCTCCCAAGCCCCGCAGCGCACCCTCCCCATGGAGAACACCGACGGAGAGGCCGCCCTTGGAGACCAGCAAGAATATACTTTTTCCACGCCTGTTCCGACCGTCGCCAAGGAGCAGGGCTTCCGCGAAGTTGACGCTCGTCAAGCTTCCAAACAGGGGGTCCATGAAGTCGGCTCCCACCCCGAGGTTGACTCCCATCCCGAGGCACGCCGCGCGAACGTGGCTACGTCCAGCCAAGGCGCCGCCGACGAGCAGCCTTCGAACATCCGCGACAAGTCCAGCAACGACGACGCCACCTCACGCACTAGCCACACCAGCGGTACTGCTCCTTACTGGGGAGATCTTCCCAAGGCCTCCCAAGGCGGTATTTACAACACGGTCACCGGTCATGGCAGTGCTCGGGATGATCATGATGAGCACCACCACCTACCTCATAGGTCAGCAGAAGACTCTGACAACAGGTTACACGTTACGGGCCTCGGTACTGACGTTCCAAGTGGTGGCGTTTACAACACTGTCGCGGGCCATGGAAGCAGCGACGAGGAGAGCAAGCGTCACCTGGAGGACAGCAACCACATTAATGATAACCTCAAGTTGAATATTCCTGAGAATGACCATGTCAGCGCAGCTACTATTAACAGCACTGAGGCCGTCTTTGATGCGCCATTGGCTGCTGTCCCCGAGGACAAGGCGTGGGCTTCTAACAGCTTCTCTCAGGTGCCCACTGGTGCTCCTGACGCTGGAACGGTGACAGGCACGGATCGCAAGGACATTGCTCCTGGCTTCCTGCCTGAGCTTGCTGCAGCAGATGATGCTAAGCTCCTCGCCGAGTCGGCTGTTAAGAGAAAGGAACGTGTTGGCAGCACCGCTAACGACAATGTCTTTGATGCTCACGCTCATGGTAGCTACCGGAAGGACAGCACTACATCTGCTGGCTCCAACGCCCAGAACAGTGACGTCAAGGCCCAACGCGCTTTTCCCTTGACTTCCAAGCACGCGACCACTGCTGACGTCGCTATGGCCAAGGACGATGCTGGGTCGTCTCCCAATCAGCACCATTCGCGCCACAAGGATGCGTTTGTTGCGGGCGCTGCTGGTCTTGGTGCGGGTGCCGCCGCCTCCCATCTGGCCAAAAAGCACCAGGATGATGAGCTTCGCGAGATTAAGGACAGAAACGCCCAGAAAAACCTAGGAGAGGACACCCTTGCCAAGGAATGGGATACCGTCCCCGAGAATCTGGACCATCCTGCTCGCAACTATCCTCGTCATGCTGCCGCTGTCAGTCACAGAAGAAAGAGCCAGGAACTCAACGAGGCCGGCGTCATCCCCATCTCTGGCACCACGTTGGAGAAAGTGAAACACAAGGAGGAGGAGAAACCCCTTGGCGAAGATACTCTCAATGTTTGGGGCACCACCCCGGAGAACTTGCAAAAGCCCGCGACCCGTCACACTGCCCATGGCGTAAACGTCCAGCAGCCTGCCGCTGAGAACAGACTGGCGAAGCAGCCATCGCCTGCTGGAAGCAATAGCAGTGAGGGCTCCTCCAAGGGCGAGAAGAAGCACCGTGGTCTTCTCGGTATCTTCCACCGCCACAAGGACGACAAGGAAGAGAACACCACCGCCACTGAGCCCCCCAAGTCTCCCAAGGATAAAAGCCACAGCAAGTTGAAGAAGGATGCTGCTTTGGCCGGCACTGGAGCTGCTGCTGGCTACGGTCTTGCCCACCACCACAGGAAGGACGACAAGGACGCCACCAACCAGCCCACCGAACTGGACCAGAACATGAAGCGCAGGGCTTCCGAGGCTGCTGCTCCTGGGGCTGTTTCCCACCGTCGGAACCCCAGTGACGCTCAGAGCGCGATCCCCCATGTTCCTGCAGTAGGCGCTGCATCTACTGGCGCCCCTTCCCACGGCCTTTCCCAGGCTCAGCGTGAAAATGCCCCTGCCAGCAAGATCCCCGTCGCCGCAGATCACAACATTCACCACCACAGCAACACGGCCCACGCTGGCATGGCTGGCGCCACTCTTGCTGGAGTCGCTGGTGGCATTGGTGCGGCCAAGTATGCTTCTGCTCACGATGACAAGGAGACCATTCATCCTGAGCAGGACGTCTCCCACGCCGCCAGTGGTGTAGGTGCCCCCGCTGCTGCTGGTACCGGTGCTGTAACTTCGGGCGGCTTGTATCACACTGAAAACCCGAGACAGCCTCCTGCTGACTCTAGCACTAATCCTTCCGGGGTGAAGCCGAATGAGAATCTTGCCAGGAACACCGCCCAGGAACCCGGCTACAACGCCTTGATGTCCGGAACCCCCTCTGGTGTTCAACCCATGTCCACCCATGGTCATGACGGCAAGCATGCGAAGACTACCAATGAGCCTGGCAACTACAACCACCTCCACACGGGAACTCCTTCAGGCGTCGCGATGGACACTGCGAATGTAGGCCGTGCCCGTTCCGAGGATCAGCCTCGCACTACCCAGAAGCCAGGCAACTACAAGCATCTTGCTAGTGGCACTCCCTCCGGCGTCATGGCCGGTGCCACTTCCCAGCCCTCCGCTCGCCGTGCCTCCGAGGGCGTCAAGCGCAACGCTCCCGCCGCCGGTGGGAGTGATTCTGAGGAAGGTCTTTACAATGTCCTCTCATCCGGTACCCCCTCAGGCGTCAAGATTTCTCCCCGCCATTCCCGCCATAGCTCTCGCTCGTCTGAGCCCGTCATCCACGCCGACCACCAGGACAAGGACGGCATGTACGGGACCCTCGCCTCCGGCACTGCCACCGGTGTCAACGTTGCTGCCATGCACGAAAACCGTGACAAGGCCATGAAGGATGTGAAAGATGAGGTGCACGAGCAGAGCGCCATGAACACTTTGACTTCCAAGTCCGGTGCCAACCAGCACAGCCTTCCCCCGGCTGAGTCGCGGCCTATTGCCGCCCTTTCGCCCGCTGAGCACCATAAGAACCAGGATACCGCAGCTGCCACACCCATGCACCACACCACCGCCAGACGCACCCAAGACCAATACAAGCCCGTTCTCTCGGCCGAGCCTCCCCAGCAATTCATGTCCCCCGAAGTGATGCCTGACGCCTATACCACCTCGGTTCCTGGGCGCAACTCCGGTGCCGGATCCGGTCCCGCTGTCGCCCCTGCGGCCACGGAGCCTATGCGTGCCAAGCACATGAGTCCTATGGTGATGCCGGACGCCTATACTGCTTCTGCGCCTGGACATTCTGGGGCGGAGAAGATCAATAGCATCCCCGAGTCTACTGGCCATACTTATGGTTCCGCTGCTGCTCAGCCTGCTGTGGCTAAGCATATGAGCCCGGAAGAGATGCCGGCTGCTCATACCGCTTCCGCCCCGGGACATTCGGGTGCTGAGAAGCTCGCTGAGCCTAAGACCACGGCTCCGCGCTCCGACAAAAACCTTGCGCTGGCGGCAGCCAGTGGGGCTTGGGCTGCTCGTTCAACTCACAAGGGCGTGAGTGAGGGTTCTGATAAGGAACAGCGCACTCACAAGCCGGTGTTTCACAAGTGCCAACATTGTGGAAAGGATAACGACGTCAGTGATGTTCTGGATACAGTCTTGAAGGGTGAGAGTGGTCGTCAGTAATAAGGAGGATCAGGATACTTGGATTTAAGCTTTATGGCGGCCTTTTCTGTTAGTTTTTGGATACCAGGAGGGAATTTTTGTTATTGAATTTATGCGCTTATGACACTTGATCTTTGACGGACTTGAAGAATACCAATGGCATTGTAATGGCAGGCTGTAGCGGTCTTCTGACCGGTGGTTGTGGATGTCTTCGATACCTTGGCTGCAGCCATTCAGATGGGTATTTTAGCATAATTTGCTTTTCTTCCATGAGAATGTTGCGTGATGATTGATGTATGCTTCACATCTCCTTCATATTTTGCGGGCGGTAATAATCGCAAATATTCTGCAAGGGAGTAATCGACACGAAAGTCGTCGACATCAATAATTCTTCCGTCGACGTCTTCGGGCCGACCACGTCGACCACATTAACCGAATCGGCCCCGACCATCGACAGCCACGAATGAAGTTTTCCCCTCGGCGCACAAACCAAACCCACAAGTTCCACCAGATTACGGTAGGTATGCAGTCGCAATGCGCTGTTCAGATGATAATCAGGTACATGACGACTTCTTGACGTCACGACTCTGTGCAGCCGATTAATGGATCTACATTTGCTGTCTGCGGCTACGGCCCGGTCATGTCAAATGTTGGACAGGTGCGGCACGTACAAAACTTGTCTTTAACTCCTGCAGTACCTTAAGCCACGACATTTTTTTGGTTTGGCTCGAGCCAAGATAGTTCAAATCTTCAAAGTCTTAGGTAGTATTTCTCTTACTTGCCAACAAACATCACCTTTACTCACTGTGACTGGGTCACCACTCATCCCTCAATTGCAAAGTCAAGATGGACGCCAAATCCCCCCACATCAAGAACCGCGACACTCCCCAATGGGGCCTCTACCAGCGGAATATGTTTTGGAGATACAACGATCGGGAACTGCCGCCTTTTAACACCCGTACGTCTTTCCTTGTTTTCTTAATTATTCACCTACCTCTCTCATCAACCAACCTCGATGGCCGGCCGGTAACTAACCCTCGCCCTCCCCTCCTCTAAACAGACCCAGACGTCCTCGAACGCCTCGCCTCCCGCAAACTCTCGCAAAACGGCTGGCTCTACGCCTCCTCCAACGCCGGACTCTCCCACACCCACCTCGCCAACCGACAAGCCTTCTTCCGGCACAAGCTCGTGCCGAGACAACTAGTCGACACCAACGAGCGGTCCACGCGCACCTCTCTCTTTGACGGGAAATGGGAGGTCTCAGCCCCCTTTGGCATCGCGCCCGTGGGAATCAACAAGATTTACCACGATCAGGGAGAGCTGGCGGTTGCCAAGGCGGCGGGTGAGCTGGGGCTGGTGTATAGTTTGAGTACGGCGGGGAGTTTTCCTATTGAGGACGTCGGCAAGGCGAACGAAGAGGGGAGGGCCAACCGGTTCAAGGCCAATGAGAATCTAGATGTGGATGTGGATGTGGAAGGGGAAGGTGGGCATGAAAACTCGAAAAAAGTTCCCGAAGCGCCCCGGTTTTTCCAGCTCTACATGCCTCACGACGACGAGTTGACCCTGAGCTTGCTCAAGCGGGCGCACGAGTCCGGCTTCCAGGCGTGTATGCTGACCACGGACACGTCGCAGCTAGGGTGGCGACACGATGATGTCGCAACGAGCAACTATGCTTTCTACCGCGGCATCGGCGGAGAACTGGGTTTCACGGACCCCGTCTTTCAAAAGAGAATGGCCGAGGCCGGGGTTGACCCCCAGAAAGACGCCGTGAAGGCAGCGAGTATGTGGATCGACACCATCTGGCATGGCCGGGCGTGGTCGTGGGACAAGGCCGTTTGGGCGCGCGAGAAGTGGCAGGAGATTGCCGGGAAAGATAAACCCTTTTTGATCAAGGGAATTCAAAGCGTGAACGACGCCAAAAAGGCGGCGGATTTGGGGTTTGAGGGCGTGGTGGTGAGTAACCATGCGGGAAGACAGGTGGATGGGGCGGTGGGCAGTTTGGATGCCCTGGAGAGCATTGTCAAGGCAGTTGGGGAGAGGAGGGGGTTTACGGTCATGTTTGATAGCGGGGTGAGAGGAGCGGCGGATGTAATGAAAGCGCTGGCGCTGGGAGCCAAGTTTGTGTTTATTGGGAGACTGTGGATTTGGGGGTTGGCGATCATGGGGGAGGAAGGTGTGAGGCATGTGTTGAGGAGTCTGTTGGCGGATTTTGACATTCTGATGAATGTGATGGGGGTGAGGAGTGTGGACGAGATTGATGGCAGTCTCTTGGAAAGTGGGCCGAGGGTTTATGGGTTGTTGAATGAGAAGAGTAAGTTGTGAGATGGGGATGGCGTCGTATGGCGGCAGAAGGTGTATAAAATCTTGCTAGAGGTAGAAGGTAGGCTGTAGACAAAAACCATCAGCCCTTGACTCTCGAGGACCCACCTGTACAAGAAGCTCAGGGGCTTTTTTCCCGTTTGGGTACAAGTAAACAATCACAAGGAAAACGGGCAGAAGGGGAGGAAGAGGAAATCAATTCTTCCATCAAGAATTGGATGGACGTCGTGCTGGCTGGGCTCTGGACCCACTTCTCCGCCATAAAGTATGGATGTCGGATAGGTAGCGGGGCAAAGGGAACTGCTCCACCAACCAACTTTCAAGGATCCCTGGTTTGTCATTTCAGCGTGCATTCAGTGTTGCAATTGGTTTGTCTTGTCCACATGTAACCCGAACCCTGAGATTTGTAGCTTCAAGTGACCCCCAGACGCCACTGCAGTGCATTCATCTGTCTCGTGCATGACCCATGTCGGGAGAACGGCTGAAGCTGATGTCGAACCTGCAGTGATCTGATGATCCATTCAGCAGCATTGCTTCCTTTCTTGCTGGCGGCAGCAGCTGTCCTTCATTTCCTTCGGGCAGTTCTCTCAGGTCCAGGCCGGCCCGATTTTATTGCTCACCAACCACTAACACACTTCTCTATCGTCCTGCTCTCCCACTTCATTTGGACACCAGCAGTCAATTGCGCTTAGGTGGCTCTAATTCGCATCTGATTGCGCTTCTCTAAATTGAGGTCAAAAGTGGGCTGAACTAGTACATACTGTAGGTAGGTAGTCATCAACATCACCTGCAGAACGCAATCCTGGCCTCCACTTGGCAGCGGAGAAGAGGCCCGTCTGACATTACATGACAGCCAACAACTCCAAGCCAACGACACCTCACAGCTGGACTGACACCTGAACCCGCTCACCTTCCCGCCGCCCACCATCGATCTGTCCCGTCATCTCCATCGCATCGTCTAGTGTAGGTTTTAGGTAGCCCTATGCATTATTACCTAGTCAAAGAGCCAGTCAAGAGCGGCGACAATAGACTAGACCAACTAGAGAGGCCCTGATCATCAACCAGGCCCCCCCCCCCCCATTCAACGGAGCTTTCCCCGGCCGCGACAAGGACAAGAACCCCCCAATCCACAAAGGTCCAGCCCAGCCCAGTCAGGTCTCTCATCGCCATCCCCAAGTGCTACCTTACCCTCCTTTCTCACCGGCCGCTGCCCACTTACTGCTGCCAGTGCCCGTCGCATGCCCGCTGCGCGCCCAGCCTACTACCTAGTCAGGTAATCCTCCTCGCGACCCTCTTTCAGCTTCGACCTTCTCCGCTCTTCCATCTTCGATAGGATCCAGACCTCTCTCTGCTGTTGGAATACAACATGGCCGGCTTTCCTCCACGAAACCAACAGCACATCCAGCCCGATGAAGGCTACTCGGAAGACCCTCTGAACACCCAGGCCAATTCCTCCTGCCTCAAATCCCGCGACGCCTCTCCTTGCGCCCATCCATCGTCGCGCCAAGCCTCAGACATTCCACCCTGGCTGATCCAACATATCTCGGGCCTCTCCATGGAAAACAAGACTGGTTGGCCCTCCTTTTCCCCTGTTTTTTTTTTTTTTTTTTTTTTTTTTTTTTTTGGTTTTGTTTCAGTTTTCATCCAAATCATCCAAAAACGAATCCAACTGACCTGTTGCGCTTCTCTCCTAGAACTCGCCATGGCACTCCTCAACGATCTCCCCACGAGCGTTATCTCTCAAATCGTCGAAACACAACTCTATCCCCGACTGTACATCGACTTTGTGCGCTATCTCCCAGCCGAAATATGCCTAAAGATTCTGGGGTACCTCGACCCCATCTCTCTCATCAATGTCGCCCGTGCCTGCCGAGTCTGGTACGAGCTTGCCATGGATCGAAAGCTGTGGCAGCATCTGTACTACATGGAGGGCTTCAAGGCGCTAATGGACGAGATCCATGCCGCCGAGGAAAAGATGAACCAGACTCCCATACCCACCCCCAGCCATTTAGAGCAATACCGGCCCGAAGAAGACGGACATGTTCACAAGAGGAGGGCCATTGCCAAAGCATCACCCCCCATGTTGCCCGCTGATGAGGATACCAAAGTGTTGCCCGCTGATGAGCCTTGTGATATTGACATGGCGGGCTCGAGTATCTTTGGTGGTGGTAGTGGTTGCGGTGTATCCCGCTCGCGGATGAGTGAACACGGCGAGGTCAACGGGAGAGCAAGTCGAGTGGACAAGGGAAAGGGACGGGCCACGAGCCCACCGCCGCAGCAGTCGGCTACCACTCGTTACAGAGACAGCATGTCTCACAGAACCTCCATTCTTCCTGGCACGTTGCAAAAGACGACTCTGTGGTGGTGGGATGCTAACGACCGCCGATACAAGATTGACTGGAAGTACCTGTATACCATGCGCCGACGACTCGAGGCCAACTGGGAGCACGGAAAATACACAAACTTCCAGCTTCCCCACCCAAACTATCCTGAGGAGGGCCACCGCGAATGCATCTACAGTATTCAGTATAACCCCCAGTTTCTTGTCAGTGGCAGCAGGGATCTCACCATCAAGGTATGGGACATGAAGAGCAGGCGTTGTTTGCGGACGCTCAAGGGTCACCGTCGCTCCGTGCTCTGTCTTCAGTTCGACTCTAGCCCCGACGAGGACATAATCGTTTCTGGCAGCTCCGATTCTGATGTTATCATCTGGCGCTTTTCCACTGGAGAAATCATTGAGGTGCTCCGCCACGCCCACCAAGAATCCGTTCTCAACGTCAAGTTTGACAAGCGCATCCTGGTAACATGCTCCAAGGACAAAACCATCAAGGTCTTCAACCGAAGGCCGCTTCGTCATGGCGATCTAGGCTATCCCTTCGACCAGGTCGGTACAACTGTCAATGTAGGCTACGACATCCCCCCGAGTATTGAGGACGCGCCTGTAATACCGCCGTGGACCATGATTGGCACCCTCGTTGGCCATAGCGCGGCTGTCAATGCAGTGCAGATTCACGAACGAGAAATCGTTTCGGCCAGTGGCGACCGATACATTAAGGTATGGGACTGGCCCACCCAAGACGTCCAACGTACCATCATAGGACACCACAAGGGCATAGCCTGTGTACAGTATGATGGCCGACGTATTGTCAGCGGTAGCAGTGACAACGAAGTCAAGATTTTTGATTGCCAGACGGGTCTGGAGGTGACCACTCTGAAGGGCCACACAGCGCTGGTGCGGACAGTGCAGGCTGGGTTTGGCGACCATCCGTACAGCGTAGAGGAAGACCTGATCAAAGCCAAGGAGGTCGACCAGGCTTATTACAAGGCCGTGGAAGCAGGCGAGATTGACGAAAACGACAATCCGAGGACACGCCGCAAGACCAACGCCGGCTCTAGCAGACCGCAGGACGTTTGCGCGACTGGAGCCAAGCTACCGCCTGGCGGCGGCGGCGGCAGGTTTGGTCGTATCGTTAGTGGAAGCTACGACACCACCATTATCATCTGGAGGAGGGATTTGGAGGGTGTATGGCGGCCACAGCATCACCTCAGACATGAACAGGCTGCTGAAGCGGCTTCGAGACGAGACGACGGGCCGCCCGATGTGCCTGGCAGGATCCCGCTGCATCCGAGCATGCGTTCTGGGTTGGCTGCAGCGAGCATGCCCGCACCTACAAACCCTCATGCAGCTGCTGGCTCCTCGCGGACTGCAAGTGCTCCTCCTGGGCCCCTGGCTGGAAGGGCGCCTGAGACAGTGGACCCAGCTATCCTGCTTGAATACGAGCAGATGGTACACGGCGCTGTCCAAAGCGGCCCAACAGCTTTTAGAAATCTTCTTCAGGCTCGCCCCGAGATTATTTCTCTGCGTCACATGGTGGACCGAGCGCTCAACCGGCAGTCGGACCCGAACTTGCGGGCTCAGTTGCGAACTGCATGGACGGGGGCTCATATTCAGAATCAGTGGAACCACGGTCGGGCTCGAAGTAATCAAGAGAATGCCATGGCTGCTAACGCTGCCGTTGCTGCTGGCAGTAACGGCGTCATTGGGACCGGTACGGCAACGGCAACGGCGGCGGCAGCAGCACTGGTGGCAGGAGCAGCGGCAGGCCAGCCTGTCATCTCGCAAGCCTCGCTACCACAGGTGCCGGTTCCAGTTGCTCCAGCGGATGCTGTCATAGCAGCGCCTGCGCAACAGCCTCAACTCCCGCCTATGGCAGGTGGGCGTCATCATCCGCATATCCCCGTAGCACCGGCTGAAGAAAATGCGCCCAGGGTGTTCAAGTTGCAGTACGATGCCCGGAGGATTATCTGTTGTAGTCAAACCAGTTACATCGTCGGGTGGGATTTCTGTAACGGCGACAAGGAGTTGGAGGAGGCTAGTCGGTTCTTTGACACGGTGCAGTAATGTGAATGTGTTTTAGTGGGCAAGTTTCTCTTAGTGTTTATGGTGGTACTCAGCTGTTTAGAACGGGACATCATTGTCAGATTTGGTCCAGTTTGGTAGTACAGATTGTATGGAGGGAGCACAGGCGTTGGATGGTTAGTGCCAGATCCCAAGATCATGGCAAGGAGTCTTGTTACCTAATTTTGCGAATGCGCATCATTGTTATCAGGTATTGTTGACAAACTGGACGGTAGTTGTGCGTTGGCCGTTCTATCATGGATAATTATAGACCATGACAGAGTATACGCTCAATGGATGTGTCGTTCCCTGTCTCTTTCCACGCTCGTCTCTGTGATGTTCTGTATGCCTACAAGTTTCGCAACGAGAAAATGGCGACTATTCTACAACTCGGCGACACAACCTTCGGGTAAAAACAATGGAAAGAAAACACCGCTTGACTGTAATGCCGCCTTTCCGATTGGTATAACAACGATATGGTTCAACCGAACCATCTGCAAATGCATGCCCTCCCTCAGCTTCAACCTGAAATCATCAAGCCGTAACTCCAATCCCAAAGCAACTTGTCGAACTCTCAAAACTAGGTCCCCAAAGCGGTCTAACCCAGCCCTTCCCATCATATATATGTCCCTTATCACCACCAGCCTCCCCTCCTAACCAGCAACCTCCTTAACCTTCCCTCCCACCTTGGGCTCCTCATCCACAAACTCGGGCACCTCATCCTGCATAAAACTCGGCACCGCTCCCGCCTCCATCCCACCATACATCTCCCTTTCCAACTCCACCTCCTGCCCCAACGCCTCCAGCTCCGCATCCAACTCGTCCTCATCCACATCCTCAGGCACCTCATAGCTCCTCGCCAATGACTCCTGGATCTCATTTCCGACATCCAACAAATCCGCCATCTCGTCCTGCAACCGCTCAATCTTGTCGATATCCACCTTGCCATACTCCTTTTTGAGCTGCTTGTTGGTCGTCTTGAGCGCGTCAATCGTCACCATGGTGTTCTTGAGGTTATCCTGCATCGTCTGCGCCTGCTCCATGTTCCACACCTGCGACTGGATCTGGTCGCGCTGCGCCTCGTACTGCTTGCGCTGCCGCAGCACCTTGAGCGCTTTTTGCTTGAGCGCCGTCTTGCCGGGCCCGTCGCGCATCTTGGCCAGCTTGGATTGGTACCCGGATAGCTCGGCGGTGAGGGAGGCGAGCTTGACGTCGATGGAGGAGAGGCGCGTGTCGAGGGAGGAGATGGCGGTTGTGAGGGTCGGTTTGGGAGCGGTGGGTTTGGAGGAGGTGCCGAAGAGGCGGTTCATGTTGGCGGTTTTTGTAGGGTTCAAGTTGTTCCGTGAATTTTTGGAGGTTCCTGGTGTTGAGACGGCGGTGGAGGTGAACGTCGGTGTTCGGTGCTTGTTGGTGTTGTTGTTGTTGTTACTGTTTGTTGTTGCGGGGAAGATCCATTGGCGGTTGCGACAGGCGAACGGTCGCTGATGACCCGACCGACCGCCTAAAGCGCTGTGGAGTGCTGCCTATCCGCCGATGACGACTGCTGCGTGGGGCAGTGTGGCGCATGTGAGATGGTTGAGTTCGTGGGGAAGGTGGAGCAGTTTGGTTGAGGCTGGACCGCCCTATGGGGCTTGGGTGCTCGGTGGATTGAGGGGGTGCCCCCGCCAACATGGCCCGGGAAGTCGACTTCAACCGCTTGTCTTCATTCTTCCAAGTTACCCTAGGTACACCCAGGCTCTTCAACTCTTCTTTCCTATACAAACCTAATAGGTGGTTCGCGACCAGACGGATGAAAAGTGGCATCAATGATCGGATATTTGTTTGCATCATCAGCAGAGAACTCTGCTCAGGGGCCCAGCTTCCAACTCACGGACGTACCTAGAGGTAGCGATGCCCCCAACGCAGCGCACGTCGTGGACTTTTTGGTGTAAACAAACATCGAAGACGACCCCGAGGGGCCTGAGTACCACATAGTATGCAACCACAGGATCGGTGGCCAGGATGAAGTACAAGTAGTCTGTTGCTGGCCGCCTGGCTTTTCTATGACGCTCTTCGGAATGCCTGGTCTGCCTTCGAACTTCGAGATATAACAGCCGCCTCGCGCTTGTAAGAAGGGATGCGCGTTGTCTTGTCAAGACCAGATGATAACCATCTTTCATCGCCTATCACGGCCATGTTTTCAAGCCTGGAGCTGAGCGATATCCACGCTAAACTGTCTTTTACCCTCAAGAACGTCAACGATGGACCACTTACAGCCTGAGGGAAACTGCTCAAATCTCCTGATTTGCGACCGGAACATTTTCATGACGTCTCTACCATCAGTGTACGATCTGCTGACCTTCCTATACGCTTGTTCGAATACGGCACTGGGAAAGCTATCACCTGGCGAGGCAGTTGACCGGTATGTATACCACGTGTTGGGTGAGTGCTGCGGTTGTGACTTCGACAGAGGATTGTAATGAGGATATCCAGAAAATGCCCAGCGAATCCCCGAGTGTTTCGGAGAGCGAAGTTGTTGTGGGGTTTATCGAAGTAGAAGTGGTAAGGTCACACAGGACCCCCTTTACTTCGCCGGTTCGGTTTCTCCATGCTGACCAAGTCTTGAAAAATACCTATATAAAGATGAAGCGTGTGGTCACAACGGCTTGGAGAAGGTACCTACGTTGCATACACCTGGTTGCTCGTATTAGTGGACATCCACTATTCATATCAGTTCAGGATAGAGGATAATCAGTGGTTTCAATGTCGTTTTCGCGCCGCTCAACCGTACTCCGAAGTTCCGCCGTGGTCGAAAACGCAGCACTGATGAACCTATCGGCCAACTCGCCATAGTCGTCAGCTTTAACTCTACCTACCTTTGAGGAAATTTGGATAGAAGCCGAGAGCTTGTGGAGCGGGTGTCTTCCGCCCCCGTTGCTCTCAAGTTTCGAAATGCACGACTTGAGCGACCACTCATTCCCCCGTTCTAGCATTCGAAGGACATTGGGCACTCGAGCGAATAGGGTGATTTGGATTCATCTCCATATCAAGAGTATGCAGAGGGAGATTGACTGTGAGGAGTCAGCACAGCAATAGCCAGGTGAGTATCTTGAACTCAGGAGCTCGCAAAGCAGCGATTATCGATATAACATGTTGACAGAATCTTATATCTGCTGTACAAGGACTTCATCTTTTCTTGTGATGGCTAGGTACTCTATCAGATTATCGTCTCACTAGTGCTATTACTAGGCCTGGCGGTTCCTGAAGTTGAATCCTTTCGCATGAAGCCGGGGAACCCAAATCGACGCCAAGGATAGGAGGTGTGCACACCCTTTATAGGAAAGGAACTCATCTATGTACACTGACTCGAGCCTGACTACACGTGTTCGACGTACCGGTGGACGGAGCCAGGTAGTGTAAGTTCATCCAGACAGTCAGACCTCTAAGGGCCTTTGTGTTGGCGTCGATCATTGCCCGACCATGCACACCCTTGGGCTGTGCTGCAAAATCCCCAACCGAAGACTGGTTGTTGTGGCTTCAGGAACCCCAGATTTGCGGATTTGCAGGATTCGTGGCTCCTTCCAGAGAGCATCTGGACGGTCTTGGCCTGGGGGGGAAAGGCATGATCTACCATAGTCTATATTACAGGCTTTACACTGGCAAACGACCTCGGACTTGAAGCAACATCTCGCCCTGCACAGTACATATTGACCCTTAAAGGTTTGTTAGCGTGGTTCTTGCCCCACATACTTTCACAGGGGGGGGTTGCAAGGCGGGACACGTCTATCTACGAGCTCTGATTGGCTAAATCTGCCTGATTTCAAAGTGAGAACGAGTAAACAGAGCACACACACACAAACCTTCTTTACTGGCTCAGAATCACCTGAATCACCCAGAACCCCCCTCACTACCTTCTATATTTTACTGGTTTCATTCCCTATTACCCCCCCTTATTATTCCCCTGTCAAAACTCCATGTAAGTACCGAGCTAACGAACTTTCCAGGGGCGATGTGTACTGTAGGAGACTGTGTAGGAAAATGAAGACGCCGCTGACGCCGGGACAAACAATATCGACGCTGTATGATGTAATCGTATTCTTTATTCAACCCTTCCCAAATCTACACCACCAAGAATCGGTTGGTTCGAGTTGAAGCGGTGACCGCATTTCCAATGGCACATGGACAAGTTGGTCTCGCCAAAGGTTTACCTGGTGTGAGGCTATCGCCCATCTAGTTAGGTAGTAATTACGATGAAATGCTAATTACGTTAGTACGGTACCTGCGCACCAAAGCTTTTCTGGTTCGATCTTCTCGCCCGCACTCGCATTGAACCGTTCGATAATCGGTACAGAGCACTGGCATTTCTACACCAGACCCGAAGCCGACCAACGTCCCGCTTCTCTACAGTTGTTCCGCCGGCGACAGAAACAAGGCTTATCTCTTTTGCCCACGCCGCCCTCGCGGTGACCTCTTTGGGAGTTAGTCTAGGTCCCTGCAGAAACTGCAACGGCTGGCCGTCACCGTGTGCAAAAGACGTTACGGAAGACGGCATGGGATGCAGTGGCGGGCACTGCGCTCTGTTGGGCAGTCTGTTGCCTAGGATAGTGGCTTTGGCGTGACACAAGATGGAGCAAGGGCTGTATCCGGCTCAGCTCTATGGGCCTTGGATGCCTTGGCACCCCATGCGCCTCCATTCACAGTCCACCATCTAGCGCGGAAAGCCTTATGCCAAGTATGTACCAACACATTTATCAGTTCATGTCCAAAAAAGGACCTTGAATTTAACTATCAGCCACGGGTCTCGCGCGGGGTACTACACTGTTCAATGCATCAGGCAATAAGCCACCACGGCCTCGGGATGGTGACCGGAAACGGGTTCAGCTCAAAGAAGCGAAGGATCATGTTTGTTCATATAAGAAAGGGGCTGCCGCCCAAGCAGCCAAAGTAGGTATGTAGTCGAGTATAACATTCAGCACCTTGGTCACCTCACCCACCCCAACTCCTCAACCTCACAACCCAACCAACAACCAAGCCGGTCATCACGATGCGTTCCAACACTCTTCTCGTTGCCCTTGCGGCCACCGCTTCAGCTTCTGCTGTTCCCCAGCCCCGGGCTGAGGCTCCCGGCGCTCTGATCACCCCGGCCCCTATCTTTAAGGGTTCGGCTGTTCAGGGTGCCATCCGGGCGCATGGTCAGCAGGCAGAGGTTGTTGACAAGCGGGCCTATGAGGTTTCGGTGGAAATTTCCGGTTCGGGCAGCCAATTCACCAGCTGCGTTTACAGCATCAGCTCGGTGCTGAGGTCGATTCAAAACGCCGCCCCTTATCCCTCCGACACGGATCTGGCGTCATGGATTCTTACAGCCGTTCCGGAGGAGTCCACCACCACGCTGGGTCTCAACGACGCCGGGAAAGCTTGCGAGACGTCGGATATGACGACCCCCACCGTCCCTGCGTCCTTGACCTCGGCCTTCTCGTCCTACGAATCCGAGGCCGAGGCGTGGCTGACCGAGGCGGCTAAGGGCGCGAGCAGCGTGGCCGGTAACTGCCCTACCAAGGTCCGCGATTGGGTCGAGCTCTCCTTTGCCACGAATACTGCCGAGTGCAAGGCCATTGTCGCCAGGCTGCAGGGCAAAAGCGGTGCTGGTTTGAACTCTGGTGAGTGAACATGTCCACCTTGTTCTCCATGTAGTGTAAAACAAGTACTTGTTGCTAATACCGAATCCTTCCCAGCTCCCGTCTTGGCCGCCGTCGCTGCGTTTGCCGGCCTCGTTGGCGTCTTGGCACTCTAAAAGAGTGTACTATCGCCAAAGAAGCCCGACATGATAGGTACCCTTGGTTCAAGAAAACACGAATGATACGATAAAACTAGGTAATGGACGGATGAATGAGACGAACAGGAAAGTCGCTATCGTCGTTGGACAGTTGATTTCTTGATGCGTTGGATAAATAGATGATGATGGAGGGATTCTTATAACATAATAACACTGTAACGATATTCACGAGATACCTACCTCTATGCTACTACCAAATACAGACATTGATGTGACTGGAATTCGGCTGGGAATGATATCGATCAAGGGAATGAATATTCACAGGGAACAGGAGTGATATGATCATCCGTATCCACCTTTCGGTAGTACATACCCACGGTACCTCCATCTAGCGTGCAGTGCAGCAGCTTGCACCGAGTGAGCACTGCGTATGTACCCCACTGCATGCATGTAAGGTACCTGCATGGCCGATGTACCTGCCTAGAGGCACCTGACGGACGGATTATGATGTTCGATGCAGCGGGTGAACTGAAGAAGCAGGCGGGAACAAGGCTATCGCGACCGTCCCTGACATACTAAAAAGGAGGAAGCCAGGGCTGTCAGGGAAGGAACTATCTCGGGTAGGTAAGCCAGGCAGCTGCTTGTGAGTTTGGTGGGCTCCCGGGTCACCTCTCCCGGCCGGCTATTCGGCGGACTGCCAGGTGCCCCTGGTTTCTTTAGCTTAGGCACTCCCCACCGTGACCTAACATTCAATAGTGTCGGGCACCACCTCTCCTTTACATCACATGTCTCCATTGCTTAGGGTAGTACCTCTATCACCAACACAACCCGCGATACGAAACCTGTTCTCGCTGTGATTTCCCGCTAAAACGAAAGCAAAGCAGAGACGGGTGAGAATCTGACAACTGGAGACGAATGACAGAAGGGGAAATAGAATTCAGCGTGTGGCGCGCCAGGTTGATTGCCCTGAGAGGCCCGGGCCAGTTAAAACCAGCCGGCTGACGGTTGGGATTCCCCATTGAGTTACTAACCTTGCTTGGTTTCGGGGCTTGTACATCAGGCTAAGACCCCAAAAAGGTGACACCGCAATCTCGGGCGAGGACGACAAGCATGAGAATGTGGTTGACCACACCAATTACTAGCAAGTACCTCTAGGTACCAACTTATCCCAAACAGACTGGACTGGACCCAATGGTGGACAGAAATGACATGACGGACCCCAAGGGAGAAGAACAATTCGCCTCGCTTTAAAAAGACAGTTGGTTGATGAGCCCCGTCGTTTCGTTTTCCCTCGCTGTCAACAGTTTCTTTCCACAACACACACCATCATCACCACCCCTTAACCCGAAAAGACTGCACCAACACCAACAATGCATCTCCGAACCTTCACCACCCTCGCGGCGGTAACCACTACCGTATCCGCGCTTGCTGCTCCTGCTCCCCCCGTTCACCAAGCCGTCGCAGCGGTCGGGCCAAAAGTTACCCAGCCCCCTTCTATCCAGGCTCGCCAGAATCACGGTGCCTTCCGCGCCGAACCGCGTCCCAAATATGTCGACGCAAAAAAGCTTCAGAAGCGTGATGACGACCAGGTTCCCTCAGTCGACGACATCGACGTCGAATCCGACCATGAAGACGACCCCTTCCCCACCGAACTCTCTCCCTCCCTCAAGCCTCTCTACACCTCCTGCGCCTTAGCCTTCAACTCCCTCATGACCTCCGCCCCCGAACCCTCTGGCAAGCTCGAAGACTGGTTGGAGACCGCCATCGTCGGGGACGAAGACAGCTGGACGGCCTCCTCCGCTAATCACGGCTACGCGGCCGTCTGCGGGACATACACCAGCCCCTTAACCCCGCCGGCGAGCTTGGCTTCGACCTACTCGGCCTACAGTTCCGCGAGCGCCAGTTATCTGTCAGCTCATCAAGCCGAAGTTACGAGCCTGGCGAACGCGTGCAAGCCGGTTTACGAGGATGTATTGTTCAGTCTTATGATGCCACATAAGGACTATGAGGAGTGCACGAGTGTCTATGATAATTATATGAGCGTTTACGTGAGCTTGGCCTGCGCGGCGAATACCCAGGATTGTTCCTTGACGAGCGCGTACCCGCCAAAGACGACCGGCACGGGGGCGGCGGCGACGACGACGACGACTGCTGCGGGGGCGGGAGTGACTGGTGCCAGTGGGAGTGGCAGCGCTGGTGCCTCGTCGACTACAGTTTCGGGGAACGTGGGCGCTCCCAAGCAAACCTTTGCCGCGGCTGCGGCGTTGGCTGGGCTTGTCGCTGCTGTTGCGGCGCTCTAGGTCTAGGGAGGAGGGAGGGTCTTTGATGTTCAGTTGGGAAGAGGGAGGACATAGTTGAGAAGCTGCGAGTACCTATTCGAGGAGGTCTTCCACGTCCTCTACAACAGCGACGGCTAGGGAAAAGAATTAGGGCTAGCAAGGATTGGAAAAATATAGGTAGCTTGATCTGTAATGTCTTAATGATGTAGGTATACTACATGATGGTTCATGCCTCACCTATTGTTCCCTGCCTCCCTGCTTACACCCACCTTACTCAGTCTTATGATGGCGCCCCTTCTCAGTATCCACGGCAACACTGCTTCGTCCAGCTTCTGCTTCACCCGGCGGCACCTGCTCGTTGCCATCCCGTTGTTGCTCCTGCTGTGAGTCCTCCCAAAGCGAAAGCGCCACCTCCCTCGCCAGAATCTTCGTCCTACCCTTCGCCCTCTCGCTCAACACCGCTCTCGCTCTAACGCCTCTCTTCCTCGCCACCGCCGTGCTCACCTTCAGTCCCAACGGATCCTCCACCAACTCCACCGCCAACAAGACCGCCGAAACAACCAAAAATCCCATGACGACAAAAACACCGCTCACCTCCAACGCAATAAACACGGTACTCCTATACCTGATTACCGCCACTACCCCTCCCACAATGGTACCCAGCACAATCAACATCCCCGGCTGTCCCCCGACCGCCAGCACTACCGCACTCAGCACAATCGGCCACAGCGCGTTCATGGTGTACCAGTACACCTGTGACACATGCAGCGGCATGCGCGTCCAGTTTTTAATAGCTATCGAAACCATAGCCAGGTGCTCGGTGTCGCCACCCCGAAAGGCGAGTTTGTACCAGGCAATGAGAAACGTGACGGTGTTGAGGGAGCGAGAGAACATGTGTTCGAGGGTGGCGAGGGCCCAGACTAAATAGCCGATTTTAACTGCCTCGAGCTTTCTTGTCCTCCACTTTTTCTGCTCGTTTCTTTTCATCTTTTTGTTGTTCTCTTCCGAGTCGGAGTCGGAGTCATCGTCAGATACCAAATGGAGCGTCGACATCGTCCCCCCAATGGCTTGGGAAGTGTCAGAAGGATCGGTAACTCCATCAACAGTCAGCGTGGCAATCGCCATCCCCCCAGCCACATCCCACACCAGCTTCTGCACAAACGAGAAGGCGTACCACCACCAACTGAATCCTAGCGCGTACTCGAGAAAGAAGGCCGGACTCCCCAACGCCAGGCGTAGGTCCTCCATGGGTGTGTACCACATCCAGTTACCTAGCCAAGGACAGAGAATGGTGCGAATGTGATTCAACAAGATGGCAATGAAGAGGTAAATAAAGGCGGAGACGTAGTCGGAGGAGAGCAGAGCGGCCTTGAGGAGTGGCCAGCGATCGTAGGCGCCGCCGGTGAATGCGCCGGCAGCAAAGTTGTCGAGAAACGTGGGGAGGCCGCTGTTGTCGTCGGTGGTTGTGGTGTCCGGATCGGTGCCGGTGTTGGCATTGGTAGAAGAGGGTTGAGACTGGGAGGAGGAAGAGGAAGAGGAGGAGGTGGTGGTGGTAGTGGTAGGTCCGCGGAGGAGGCGAGAGAGGCGGGACGGTATGAATCGTGTGAGCATAGATCCCGCTCCCCCTCTTCCTTGGAGCTGGGGGAAAGTGGCAAAGGAGGAGGTATGTTGGGAGAGGAAGCGTATATCGTTGATGGTGTACGTTGTTGCTGGAGTATTTGAGCGTTGACACAGACTTTTGGCCTTCTCCACGAAAGCAGCAGCACGTAGCCGATAATGGGAGATGCTGAGAGTATGCGATTGGGCTGCATTCGTTGCCAGTTGATAGTCCACCGATGAGTTCTGGGTCTTGGGTTTGGTGGCGCGGGACCCCTCCTTTGTCAGTCGACTAAGAACCAACAAGGCCGTGTCATAGTCGGGGTCGCTCGGTTCCTTGATGATTAAGGGGCTATGGGTGTTGCCGTTGGGTAACTCGGACATAAAGGGGTAGCTGGCTATGCCTTCCATGAAGTTGGCAACATTCAAGAGAATGTCGAGCGGTAGCCAGCTGTCATACTCCTTCAGGAGCTCCTCGTAGATGGGCTTCTGAGCGATAATTACTGCGAGCGAGCGCAAGTCACGAGCTAGGTCGGCGAAGATGTAGATGAGTGTCGCTGTCAAACCGTTGGCATCGTCGTAGAACTGACGCAGTTTCTTAGGGACATGGTCGATCCATACTGTTTGTACCTTGGTGAGTGTACTCGGGGGAGCTCCCAACTTCATCGGTACGTATTCGTTGGGGCGCCGTTCAAATCCCTGCCGGGCTTGATGCAAGCGGATACACCAAGTGGAAGAGCTTCCCGTTGCCAAGACGGATAGCAGATAAATGGGCCTCTCCAGCGCGTCCTGAGCCTGTTTGACAAGTCCCGTACACCGGACCCGGTCTTCAGTTGCGGGTATGGAAATTGGGCCTGTCAAGAAGTCGTTGAGCACCAGTAGGAAGACCAAGGTATCGGTGATGACACCAATCATCATCATCTCAGCCACGGCACCTTCGTCAGGATCAGACAGGTTCCACCTGGCCAAAGTCCAGTGTCTGGTCCAGTGTGTCCAAGCGTAGAGCACCAGCGAGGACGTGGGGGCATTTTGGTCGTACACATGGCCCAACCGGAGAACGGTCCTGCTGATGATGACGGCGCATTGCCCAGTAACAATCATGTTTGCCTGCTGGACATTAAAACCCAGTCGCTGCACCGGCGCAGGTAGGTCTGAACTTCTCAGCTCAAACATGACCGTAGCCAGTTCGGGGTCGCTCAGGGTGACATTGTTGCGGCCCGGGTTGCGAGTGTCCGGGTGAAAAGTGACCAAGCCTCTGAGCAGGCCAGTGAGGGAAGCAGTGGCGGTCTCCTCGTCGAAAGACACGCCCTTGTTGATGAATACATCAAGCTGATCGCTGCCTCTGGTTGAGTGTGTTTGCTGTATCAATAGGGCAAGCCAGAGTTCTTGGGACTGGATGGGGCGCACGGAGACGCAGAGCCAGCAGAGAGCTATGCGGGCGAGGATGAATAGGTCTTCGTCTTGAATGGATTCGACAACCCGGCATATCTCCTGGTGAAGTCGATCACGCTTTTCGCTGTCCATGATAGATGTACTTGGGAGAGGGAAATACGTAGGTGATTACCAGTATGGCCAAACAGGTGGGATCTGTTCTGGCCTTGCCATTTCAAGGGTTGTTGCGAAGTAATGAACAGGATGCTCATCTTTATAGACCCAAGCCGAGCAAGATGGCCATCTCTTCGGCTCTCGGCTGCAGCGAAATGGGGCTTGGACACCCATTGAAGTGCTGGGTAAGGCATATTGAAACACAATCGGAGCTCAGCCGCTTACGCGGAGCCAATGGTTCTTGTTGATGGTCGTTGCACTGCTTGCGCCACAAAATCAATAGTGCGGGGAGTGGAACGGGCGATGTCTTCAGTGACAGAAGCCATGGAAAGCTGGCGACAAAAGAGTCGCAATGGCGTGTCATACGCAGCTTGGCGGTACGTGCCAAATGCGGTAAATGTTCCGAGACCTTCAACGTCCGTCGCGATCATTGATCAACGCTTTTTCTTTCGCTAAGGGGCAAGTTGAGGAAGAAATACAGTTAAGACAGAAGAACAACACAAGATAATGTCGTCAGCTTGTATGCTAAATTGCCGCCTCTCTCTCGTGCCTTGGTATCTGTCTTCCTGAAATGCGGTTGATCCAGCAACCAGATGGCATTATCGAAGTTGAGCCGGCGTCTTCCCCGAGCTCAAGGTCATATCAATCTTTTTCTCGTATCCAAATATGCAGCCAGATAGTAGTGAAAGTTTTAGGTCATAAGTCATACCGTCGTTAAATCATCATCCTGGGAAAAGTGCCTCCCTTTTCGTCTCGAATGTTCGATCCGTATGTCCCCGTTTACCCCGTCAACCCCTAAGCAATAACACCCATCTCCATGGTTTCCCCCGAACTTCCTCTCTTCTGACCGTCCACACTCTCCTTCCCTTTGTCAAGGGGCTGTACTTTCCGAGGGTCCTCCCTTACAAACGCACCGACATTTCCTCCATTGCCGTCACCCAGTCCAACCATTTCAGCCCCTTCCTTTCCGACTACCCCAAACTTGACAGTAACCGCACCCAAATCGCTAGGCAGGTATGTCTTTGCTGCATCCGCTCCGGCCTGCTCACGCAGCCAGGGTGTTTGAGAACTCTTGAGCAGCTCGCAGGGCCCGGCGAGACGGAGGACGGGGATGGACTCGCGTGAGTGGGTGTGGCTCAGATAGAACGAGAGACACACAATAAGAGTAACCAAAAGGAGAGGCAGGAGAAGTAAGAGGAGGGAGCGCGATCGGGACAGGAACTGGAGGGGATAAGTAGAGATAAGAAGTGTGGTGTTTTCGGTGGATTGGTTTTCAGACGCAGTGGTGGATTGTAAAAGAGCACCGATGGAAAGGTGGATGAATGACTCGATACCGTCGATAGTCCAGTTATTACGCTGGGGAGTTTGGCCGGTGTAGGCTACGGCGCGATTGGTGGAGGTTGAGTTGAAGAACATTGGCTGGGAGCCTGATACGCTAGGAGAGGAGAGGATGGGGGCAACAGCAAACCAGAGGAGAAGTTCGTTGAGAGCGGTTGAGGGGCGGGAGGTGTTGGTCTGAAGGGTATCGAGGGACGAGAGGGTCGGGAGAGCGGTGTTGTTCGAGTGAATCAATGGGTTGCCAACGGTGATAATGTCGTCGATAGCCGAAACAGTGACATCGCAACCTATCGCCGAGACGTTGTGCATGGTACCAAGCGCAATGGAGGACTGCTTGCCGCCTTCGATGGTTCCGTTGAGCGCGGCAAAGACAAGGGTTGCTTTGGTTCGGTGGGACGCCTCAAAGGTATAATTGTCGGCCCAAAGAGTCAACTGAGGTTGCGGGCGCACGTAGACCTCTGATGGGGTACGTTTCTCGCCTCTTAGAGAGCTGGTGCTCGCGCGAGTCCAGTTGGTAAGGAAGGCGTTCGACGGCTGCCAGTATTGGACAAGCTGCTCAACAGAGCGTGGGCGACACAACACAGTTGTTTGCAGTTTGACGGCCCGAGCAGAAAAGTGTCCCTTGGTGCTGAGTACCTCCCGATCAACATACCAATCCCGGTATTCTGGCAGAGGTTCCGAGGCTGGGTCCAAGGCCCACGCGTTGTACGTCGTCAGGACGCCCATGTTGGCAAAAGTCGGTGCTTCGGTTTGCAGGAATGATTCTGCGAGCCCACCGCCAGGCGTGTAGTTGCTCTTGAGCTCTACCTCCTTTGAAATCAATGTATACGCCTGGCCAACCAACGGTATTCCAGCGAGCGGTGTCAGAATGGATGCTACCGCGCAAACGAGCATGATTCCCATGGCAACCGTCTTGACTTCCATCAAGGCTCTCGGAGCAGCCAAGATAGACCCCCGCGTGGTCGCCAAGTATGCCTCCAGACCCCTCATTGGCATGGTCTGCTTGATCAACAGCGGCCATACAGCGGCCTCGCATAGCGTGAGGGCCACGTAAGCAAGTGCCCCCAGTCCGATGATGTACACGAGAGTGACGATGCCCTGAACAGTTGGCAGGTGTTCGGCTGTCCATGGGTCGATTGTGCGACAATCTTCTGCCCAGTCTGGGCACTTAAGCGGTCGTTTGCTTGTGAGAGTGGCAAAGACAATGGCGGCAACGACAAAGACGATACCTGCAAGGAATACTGCTGGAAGAGAGAGGTGTCTTCCTACAAAGGCCCACCACCCAAGTCGCCGTGGTTTCGAGCTCGTGTCGAAAATGAAATTGTGATGTGAGGCAAGGCGATGAACCTCTCTGGGTGTCGGGGTAGCCATTGTCTCCTGCTCCGGATCTCCAGGCCGTTCTCGTTCTCGGTCGTAATACAGGGTGCTACCGCCAGTATCCGTGGACGGGCGGTAGGGGTTGGGGGCCGCGACTGGTTTGTAGCTGCTGTGACTGCTATCGTTGTGATGGTGGTAAGGAACCTGGCGATGATGGCCGTGGTGATGTGGGAGTGGTAGCGAGAGGTCCGAGTTGAACTCCTCCTTGAAAATAGACTGATGTGAGCGGTTGGAGCGCTGTGTGCGAGTGCGGAATAGCGAACCAGGACGCGAAGGCTCAGCCGCTGAGCCTGAAGATTCCAGTCCAAACATGGAGGCGTGTGGGTGTTTTTATGTTGCTTCAGAGAGCATTGGGTAGTGGCCTTGGTGGTGTGTCTGGGTGAAGACAGAAGACTGGAAAGGATGGGGCTCGCAAGGGGTAGTCTAGTCGTCTCAAGTTACACCGTCCAGGCGCTTTTGACCTTTGTCCTCGTCACTCAAGCACAGATGAGCTGAGAGAGAGAAAAAGAAGAAGATGGCAACGAGGGGTCATAGACACACGCGAGCAGGAAATCCCAGACAGACTAAACCAGCCGTTGTCCATAGAACCGACTCCGTTGAAGCCCACAAGTAAAACGTCCAGACCCTGCAGACATGCACAAGGATGGGGGCAGATAACTTGTTGGGCCTTTGCAACCGCTCCATCGCTGCGATACGTGGCGGGTGGCTGTACCAATCGACAGGGGATTCGAAATCTTTCTTGGCCAGTCATTTCAGGCAGAGAGTTGTCAACCGGGACAAGTCCATGTCGAATCAGTCGAATCAGCTCATCTTGATGGATCCTCGCTCGCTCGTATCGCAGCCGTGATATTTTTGTATCTCGAAAGCTTTCTAATAAAAAGCTGAAACAACAAAACTGCAGCCAAGAGCTTGTTGACTGACTCCACAGGAGGGAATTGTCCGGTGTTCTCGCGATGTTTCGTTGTGGACGAGAATGACGCGAATATTTCTTAGGGGAAAGACAAAGGAAGTTCAGTTGACGTTGAAAGTGGACCGTGTGGTGTAAGCGGGGGCCACCTGTGGAGGAGTGACCGACCGCTGTCGCCAGCTCGACGGACACGAAATTGCCCTTTGTACAGCTGATCAAGGGCCTTTTATTGTAGCAGACATTTTACCACGGTAACCCGGCGCGCACACACTCCACACTGTGTATTTATTCCGGCGAACCTTGGTGGGGCATCTCTCTTCAGCCCTCTTCCTCCTCCTCCTCCTCCTCCTCCTCCTCCTCCTCCTCCTCCTCCTCCTCCTCATCCATCACTCAACTTTCACTCGCTCTCAGCCTTCCACCTTTTCACACTGCCACTTCCAAACCACTTTCGCTTTCTGAGCTTGACAAGGTCAACCCATATACAGAAGTCCACGCAATCTACGGTTTGGTCACCCAGCTCTCCTTCATTTTCTCAGCAACTTGATCCAAGTTTGGGTGAACACGCGCCCCTCTTCAATTTCTTGACATTATTTTATAACAATTACAGCAAGTACCACAAGGCAACGCGATATACCTAGCCAGCCAGCTTACATTTCTCTTTTGACGACCCCACTTTCTTCACCTCATCATCATCCACGGCTGCAGGAAAGGCAAGACAACGCGACCTAGTCATGTCGACTCCGCAAGCTACTGGGGAGCCAATGGGTGCGCTGGTGCAGAGCATCGCGAACCTTGTCAACACCACGGACGCACTGGCAGAGATTATCTCTCGCGTTACCAACAACGTCTCGGAAACTTCTCAAGCTGATGAAGCTTTCACCGTCGCCTTGGTCTATCTTGAAAATGTCAGAGGGCAGTTCCTCAACCTCGTCGCAAGCGCACAAGAGGCTGCCAGCTTGAATCAAGCGACCAAGCTGCAAATTCAACAGGCGACCAACCAGTTGGAGCAGTCGCGGAAGAAATTCAAGGACCAGCTGGAGCTGGACTCAAAGGAAATTGCGGAGCATATCAAGAAGCAGTTGATGCTAACCACAAAAGAAATGGCGGAAGACTCAAAGAAGATGGCAGAAAATGCCAACAGGGCGATCATGGATTCTTCAGGTGCCATGGCTGATCAGATCTACAACCTGGAGTACACTGTCGACGGGTTGGATCAATGCAATGATGAGGTGCTCACCCAGTCAAAGGAAGTGAAACAGACTTTGGATCAGACAAAGGAGGCCTTGGTCCAGGCAAAGGAGGTAACGGTACTGACAATGGAGGAACTCAAGCTCGCCGCAGAAGACATGAAGCGTGAGCGACTGCTTTTCAAGGACCAGCATGACCGTCTTGAGCAGAGGATCAAGGAGATGCATCAATTCCTGGAGGGTAAAGACGCCGAGAGCAAGGGCCTCAAGGCGCTTTACACCAAGCTGAGCTCACACGCAATTCGCAGTGTCCAAAACGCCACCAACTTCCGCGACGCGCAGTACAAGTTCCTCGTCGATGGGTTCGCTAGATTCGAGCAGAAGATCGCCTTCATTACTCACCACATCGGCGGCAGCAACAGCCCGAGCTCCGGCAAAGTCTCAAATGCCGTCACCACTAACGATGTATCCAAGGTTGACAAGGCCAGCAAGAGCCCCAGGACCAACATGATGGAGTACAAGATCACCGAGCTGCAAAAGACTATCAGAGACCTCGAGTATGAGCGCGACGTCCTCGCCGGCTCCAAGAAGCTTCTCGAGCTTCGCCTTGCCAAATTCGAGAAGGAAGCACTCGCTCCCTCCCCGACCGCACCCGTGCAACCCGTCGTCCCGGATACTCCCTGCCCGACCCTCAAATCCACCAAATCCAAGCGCAGCCTCACCGAGGCCGGCGAACTTCTGGCCCAGCTGACCCTCTCGGGCTCAGAGACCACCACCACCACCGCCGTCGCCAGCGCCCGCCCCTCCGTCGAGAGCCTCATCCAGCCCGACCTATGGGAACGCCTCATTTCTCCTGCTCTTCTCTCCGACGAAATCAAGCGTCGCCTGCGGTTGATCAAACCGCAAGTAACCGGCGGTCTGCGTCTCGAGACGCTGTTCCTCCGCGTGGTCACCATCGCCGTCCACGATCAAGCTTGGGAGAACTTTGGCTCCTTTTTGAAGGAGGGCACTATTTCGCAGTGGTACTGTATCGATGGCCTGGTGAAGAATGGTTGGCGTGGCTCGGTGATTTTGGTGGACCACAAGTGCGATGGCCGCAAGGGAGAAGAGGGGAAGGGTGGCGAGTGCCTGAGGGTTATGCGCACCCAGTTGGATTACGGAAAGGTTAATTTTAGGCAAAGGAACTTTTAAGGAGGTATGATGCCTGGGTATAGCCTTTCCGGCCAGCTGGGGAGGCGGTGCCCGGGTGGTGGGGTCGTTCGGGGTGGGATGGGATGGGTAGGGTGGAGGGTCGGATTCTCTTCGTGGTTGGAGGAGATGCCCTGGTGGGATCGATCTCGAACTCTCTTTTCCATGGATATAGTATTGTAATAGGTTTCTTAGGGGTGCTTGGCTGCGAATGAGGCCTTTAAAGATGACTGTCTAGTAATGATTAATCAACATTCCGTTCCGCCATTATTGTTTTTTATATCTTGCGATACTAGGATCATGTGTTTTAAGCAGCAGCAAACGCGTGGCTAGATCTTGCACATGTCTAAACATATCCTTTCCATACGTTGAAGGTTTGTGACGATGCATTTTCGTGCGACTCGATGACCTTTTGGACACTACTAATGGCATTCTTCACGGTTCACAAGGCACTCAATTAGCACCGGGACACAATCATAGGAAGGGTGTTTGGTCTACTCTACAGTCCAAAAGTACACAAATATACACATATCAGCCCAACTTCTCCTTTACTCCTCCTGGTCCTGAATGCCCTCATGTTCGCTGCCCCCTCTCTCCTTGTTGCTGGGCTTAAGCTCGTAGCGCTCCTTCAGTAAAACAAAGAGGTGCTCCTGAATCATCTCGCGGTGTCCTTTCTGGACACGAAGTAACTCGTCTTGGGGCCCGAACGGATAGGGGCCTCGCTTTTCCACCCTGATTTTGGCAGTCTGGTAAATCTTGTTATATGGCACAAGCTCAGCCATCCATTGGTTCTTGAAAACCATTATAGCTGAGGGTATAGACTCAGAATTTCTATCGATCCGCGTGGTGCCGCTTACGAGTGCATCCCAGGACTCGTAGAGCTTCCCCATGAGGACCTGGGGATCTGAAGAGAATTCAGGGTCTCGAAAGAGCAAGAGCCGAGATGGGTTAGGATGCTGCCACAGCTTCAACTCGCTATAGGTCCATCTGGCCGTGCGTTTCTGGAGCGGTATGGTTTCAGCCAGTACATCTAGCTTTTTGGCGGCAGCTGCCAAGTGGAGAAAAGAGATAGCCGTTCGAATAGGTGGTAAATTGGCCCGTCGTATGATCAGCGTGTCAAATAGCTTGTTCTTTCCAGCTCTTGGGAGATCTGGGCAATTGTCGAGGACATGCTGTTGGGTATTGCAGAAAGGGCAGCCATCCAGGTCACCCATATTGGACGGCGGCCCAAAGCAGTCGGCCAACTCATGACCGGGCCTTCTACAGGCTCTGTTGCCGCAGATTGTGTCATCAGACCCAGTACCTCTTTCGGCTTGCGAATTGCTTTGTGCTACGGTAGGTACAGTCGTGCCCTGCGACTCTTGCTTTGCCTGAGAGGGTAGATGGACCTCTTGGCGATCAAGCACGCTGGCCAGTGTCCTCAAAGGAAGGCCTGGCTGTTGCCTCTTGGATTGCGGGGCCAGAGCTGGAGGGTCGGTCGCATCGAGGCTACGCTTGGCTGAAGCACGATTTGTTTGAGTTGTTGACGTTGGGTGTGCCTCTGTTGCAGGCACCTCAGAGTGAGCTGGCTCTGTTTCCTCTTTTGATGGTTGGTCCACGTTGGCTTTTGTGATAGCAACGTCGAGAATATGCTTTTCTGAATCATGAATCTGTAGAGCTGCCGACTTGGGGTTCACCTCTGTTGCAGAGATCTGGGGACTGGGTCGCTCATTCTCCGCTCTCGACGGTTGGCTGATGTTGGTGCTCGCGGCAGTGACTGCCTGACGAGGCCCACCAGGAGCATTTGGAATCGGCACGGCACCGAAAGTGACGATTCCGCTGACCATCTGTCTCTCACGAAATCTTTCTGTTTGTTTGGCATGGTAGAAAATATCAAACTCAGCAGAGAAGGGCCCAACGTGAGCTGACGGTTTGGTGTAATGAAACTTGTCGCCAAAGTCACCGCAGCCAAGAGCATATCCTGCAAGACAAACTTGGTTAGACTAGGCCAATATATATGAAGCAGTGTATGTAAATAAAAACGACGAGTGTTGATCGAATGGAACTGCGTGTAGGGAGCTTCTGATCCGATTGGGGAGTTGCGACAAGCCTCCACTTACCTCTCATCCACAAGCTGAAATCCAGCGCATAAAGATGTGCCGCAGTGGACACGCGACTCAGCCCGAGATTATAAAATCTCATCATTACGTCCTCGAACCCCTTGATGTAGCACTCGTGAATCCTGTTTGCGGCAGTGGCCTGCGCAAGGGTTACGCTTTCACCGTCGTGGGGTCGGAAAGGGTCTGGCAGTTGGCTTACACCGAAGTGGGTGCTCGCGATCCTACAGGCCACGAACCAGTGACGGTGGCGCTCATCGTTATACTTCGTTGACGTTAAAATGCTGGTATACGTCGGTCTCGTTGATGACTGCCCGTCCAGAGGGCCCATCGCAACCAGCTCATTCATCATGTTGTCCATGATGCAATGGTCCAATGCAGACACCGGCGCCGAGAATGAATCTGGATTCATTCTGGCTCTGAGTATGTCGAAAGTTTAGAGCAAGGGGTGTGGATCGTGATCGCGAAAATAGAGGAAGAGGGATAAGTGAAGAACGATGGTGAAGTTACCTCTAGGGAAGGGAGCAAGAGGGTGAAGTTTGGGAATGGAGGGGTGCAGGTACGAAGGAGGAAAGGAGGACGTTTCCAGCTTTGCGATTGTACCCCGCGTACGTATTCAACTCGAAATCTGTACCTTTCCTTGGGCAGGTGGAGAACCGAAGTGAATGATTCGGATTTCGTCACATGTGAATGGTATGTTCTGGCTCTTGCTTCTGGCTCTTGCCGTGGGCAAACAGTGTCTGTATGGGTAGGCAAGACCAAGTCCCATAGCTACCCAGTACTTAAGGTCTGTGTTTGGACAGTACAGTCATCAGACCACCGTGGGGAAGACAGCGTAGTCGTCAGAGGTGAAGCGCGCCACTTTGTTCGTAACTGCCCTCTTCCTTAGAAGAAGCGGTTCGTTCGAACCGGCCTTCGGGCATGCTTTGAACAACTTTTTGCACTTTTTAACCTCTCATTCTTTTTGACTACTCCCACTAACATTAAACCACCACTCATCCATTATTCAGTATTGACTCGGCTCCTTGATCTTTTTTATGATGATGCATTTTTGGCCTCCTTTCCGTCAGTCGCTGCAGGAGGAGATATCTGTCGAGAAAGGAAATGGGAACTTGACAACTGCCGCTGAGTACCTAATGCGTACCCGACAAGTCGAAGTCGCTCTCATCAGCTCTCTAAGTTAGATATGCTGCATCAAAGGCCGCACTACCGTGAAAGGGTAAGAATGGGAGAATATCGGAGATAAAGCATAAAGGTGCACACTCAGGTCAACTTGCTCAAAAGGAACAAGCGGAAACGGAAAACAAATAGAAAGAAACTGACCGGTACGTGGAGGAATAAGCAAAAGGTAAAGTACACCAGCTTTCAAGGATATGTTGGGGTGGTTGCGCGGAATTATTATTGAGTGTCTTCAATGTATTGTGGGTGTGCGTAGGAGAAAAAGTGGGTGCACCCGCCCCTACTCCCAAGAGGTGGTAGGCTTCTTAACTCTCTAGGATAAGGAGACCTGATTAGTTGTTCATGAGTACTTCTACTAATCAAAATACCATAGTTTCCTCCGACATTGCATGTTTTCGTCAAGAAAAAAAAAAAAAAGCGAAACAGCAAGCGCCAGTCGGAGTGAACAAACTAGTGGAAGTTCTCTTTGACCCTTGGTCACACCAACACTCTACAGGAGCATGTGATTCTCTTCTCGAACGCCCCAAAACACACCTACAGCCAGGACATCTTCGGTAGTTTTCTACACAAGCTCTCTGAGCGACACTCAAAACAAAGCATCCTCAGTCTCAAACAAAGTCAAGCTTGAATAGGGGGAAAAGGTCCATTAAAGGCAACAGAAAAAAAACCAAAATCTTCCTACTATTTTGGAAGTTAGGTAAAATATAAGATTGTACCCTGCGTACGTATCAAACTCGAACTTTGTGCGTTGCCGAACTTCGGAGGGTAGAGAACTGGAGTGGATGGTTTGAATCTCGCCTCAGGTGAATGGGGTGAGTGCCGGCTCCAGCTCCATGCTCGTGCTATGGGCAAACAGTTTTGATATTGGATAGCCAAGTCTAGTAGCTTTCGGTATTTAAGGTCTGCGCTTGGAAGTACAGTCATCAGACCACCGTGGGGGAGTTTGGCTCAGTCAGTAGATGGGGCGCCACATCTTTCTGGCTGACCACTTCTCTAGTAGAACCGGTACGTTCGAACCTGCCCGGGAGCGTGTTCAAACAACTTTTTTGTCACTTTTCTGCTGACCACCTGATCATCGACTAGCTCTAGGAGTTCTTTGCTTTTGCGCACAGAGTACATACCTAACTAAATAAGCTGCCTTGTTGATAGAAAGGAGGCGCACAAATCCAGCGCTGCAAATGCAAGGAGGGAGTTGAAGGATACACTAGGGGACGATATATGGAAACGCAACCCTGAAATAGCCCCAGTCAGTTACCCATCTCATGTTTTGTTGCGTCAATTTTTGCTCATAATCGATGCGTGATTGCTTTCGAAGGGTGGAGAACCGGAGTGAATGGTTCGAATCTCGTCCCACATGAATTGTACGGACCGGCTCCAGTCTCCTGCCGTCTCTGGAGGCTAAGAAATTCTGATAGCCACCCGGTACTTAGAATGTGGCTTTGGCAGTCACAATTACCAAGGGTGGCTGGCGCAGTTGGTACTAGGTGGGATATCTCATCTTCACAACTGTGGTCACTGCCCGCCACTTTCGTGCAAGTGGTTCGTTCGAACCTGCCGAGCGGCTTCGAAAACATTTTTTTTTGCACTTTTTACGCTTCCAACCATTTGGTCATTACAGGTAATCTTTTGCTTTCGTCCATTCAACAAATGATAATGTGCCCTGTCAGAGGGCGCGTTGCTGGAGCAGAATAAGAGGAGATCGGAGGTAAAAGAGGAAGAAGGTGCACAATTGCCGCGCGTTTGAAGGGTCTTTCCCATGCCAGAACTTGGATAGATGGAAAAACATACAAACAATTTCCAAACTTCCACTTGGTTTTCTACACAGGCCTGGCTTTCAGTCACCGGCTGAGTTCTGAGCAGTTGCAAAGAAAGGCAGGGCGCTATGAATGTAATCACCAGTCAAGAGAGCACTAGCAGGTTGATATGCTCAAAAGGAAGGGAAGAAAGAGAAACCAAATAAATGAAAATTCACCGACGATACAACGATAATCGAAAGGTGAAGTAAACCAACTTCTAACGATATACTGAAGGGTTGCGCGAAATGATCATCGAGTGTCTTGAACATTCTAGGGCGCCACTACACCTAGATTTCCTGACTCTTCGAGGGAAAAAGACCTTCTCGATAGTTCAGAGTTCACACATACACTTCAACTAATCAAAACACCAAAGTTCCTTCCTGCCTGACCAATCTGCGTCAAGCAACATAAGAAAAAGCACAGTTCAAAGTACTACGACGACTCCAACTGACCCCTTTAAATGAAGCATCCACAATCCCAGACAAGGTGAAGCCTACAGTAGGTAAACGAAGGAAAAGGCCCATAAAAAAAACAGAAGAGAGTGAAAGTTTAGCTGCTACTTTATGAGTTAAGATACAAAAGAGAATGAAATTTTCGAGTCTTTAGTCACGCACATGGTGATCCGACCTTCCCATGTGTATGTATGTACTTGTTGTATTCTAACCACCTAACAATCCCCATGGAACAACCAAACTGACAAAGCCACAAGTAGTAACCTCTCTTTTCCCCCCCCCCCCCCAGATTCATTACGCTACTTGCTTGAGTGTCGCTAAGCCTCCCATATCGCCCTACCAACACCACCAGGACCCCCTAACGTGATCTCACCACTAAAATCCGACAAGGCATCTTCGTACAAAGTCCCGGGTGTTGGCGAGGAGTTTTTCCGTAGTTGATCATGTGTTTGTTGCTGTTGCTGTTGCTGTTCCTGCTGCAATTGCTGCTCAAGATCCAGATCCGTCGGCATCACCCCCACCCCCTTCCCACCACTCTCTTGCCTTCTTCCTCCTTGTTCACTCCTTGTCGTCGTCGTCGTCGTCTTCAAAGGCCAAGCCTCCTCCTCCTCATTACCACCACCTGAAGAAGAAGAATAATAATTGTACGACGGGGTACTCTCAATCTCAGCATGCCTTTCCTCCTCCCTTGCCGCCTCGACCTCCTCTCGCGGGACAGAAACGACTTCGACTTGTCGAACCATAAGAATTCCCGCGCGGGGCACAGGAAGCTCGGTCACTCCGGAGGCGGAGGCAGAGGCAGAGGAAGAGTCGCTTCTAAATGACTTGTTCATGTCCGCCGCAAGGTTGTTGGTGCCAATGTCTTTATCGCTGACGTTGCATGACGAAGAAGAAGACGACGAAGAGAAAGAGAATGATCGGGAAGAGCCGTTAGAATTCGCGGAGGACGACGAAGAGGAAGAGGAAGAGGAGGAGAGCGAGGCAGTAGAGATGGTCGAGTGCCTGTTGAGGGTGGTTCCGATTGTACTGGCGGCGTTGTTCGTAACTTCGGCATCATTGATAGCAGCGTCATGTGCCGGTGCCGGTGCCTGGGATGCGTAATCGTCGGAAAGGAGGAAAACCGGGTACCTCTGGCCATCAGGCCCATTACAGTACGTCACTGCAACAGCCTGCTCCCATCTTGCCGCCTCCGAATCAGTGGATTCCCCTCCATCTTGCGACTGCGCTTGCTGCTGCTGCTCACGAGCCCTGTTGTGATCCGTGCTGGTGGACGAGGAAGGCGCACAATCGTAGGTACCGTCATTGTTGTCGTGCTGTTCCTCCACTACGGCTTCTTTGCCATTGGTGCTGTCTGTATCTGAGCCGGTTGACTTTGTTGAAGCTGGTCTTGATGGGATAGTGAAGTGAGCAGCATAACCACCAGCACCACCACCACCGCCGCCGCCGCCACCGAAAAGTCTGGGAAGTCTTTCGCTGTTGCGCCCGGGAACGGCTGTGGCATGAGAATCAGCAGCGGCTGTACTACTACCGTGGTGGTTATGATTGTTATGCGGATTTGACACCACAGCCATAACAGGCGCCGGCGCCGTCACCGTCTGTCCCGGCCTTGCATCAGTAAACATGACAGGCGGTACCTTGGCGCCGCGCAGGACAAACTTGGACTCGAGAATCTTATCCATGCTGTGATGCTGGATGAACAGACTGCAGATCAGCGCCGCCACCCCGGCGCCGGTGATGATCCAAAAGACGCCGTGGAAGCCGACGACGTACGCCTCGAGGGCGCCGACCCGCACGGGATCGTTGGGATCCATGAGCAGCATCTGCTGGACAAACTGCTCCGAATTGTGGGCGATCTTGACGGGCAAACCGAGCTGCTCGAGCCGCTTGACCATGACGTTCTGGAACACGGTGCCGCCAATAGCGACGCCGAGCGACATGCCGAGCGTACGCATGAAGGCGTACATGGCCGCAGCGCTGCCGGCGTCTTCGACCCGGCTGATGGCTTGGATGCCGACGTTGACGCTGGTCAGGAGCATGCCGTGACCGATGCCGAAGATGGCAAGAATCACAGCCCATACGGCGGTCTTGGTGTCTTGCTTCAGGTAATGGAGCAGACCACAGCCAATGGTGGCGAGCACCCAGCCGCTCCAGATAGACCAGCGGAAGTGCCCCAGGCGGGAGGTCATGAGCGAGATGACAATAGATCCCGGAAGAAGCAGGCAAGTGACGGGAAAGATGTTGAGGCCGGACTGCGTGGGCGAGGTGAAGCGGACGGCAGTAAAGTAGAAGGGCACATAGTAGAGGGCGCAGAACAGGATGAGACCCTGGAACAGGGCACAGCCGTAGGCGGCAATGGCGGAGCCTGAGCAGAAGAGAGATGCGCGAAGGAAGGGTTCACGGGCGCCGTACTTCTCCCAGATGATGGAGGCAAGGACACTGACGCCGCCAACGGTCATGGGCACAATTGTCTGCACGCTGCGCCACTCGAACTGGATACCCGCCCAGGACATGCCGACGAGAAAACTGGTCAGTCCTCCAATGAAGAGGAAGCCACCGAGCCAGTCGACTCTGGACAGCTTGGAGCCTAAAGAGGTCTTCTTGGTTGTGAGCTTGACAAAGGCGGGCACAAGAAGCAGGCCCATTGCGCAAAAGGGGAACTATCATTGGTTGGTATCAGTCATTGAATCCCCCTACTCACTTCTAGAAAACGAAGACTCACGTTTAAATAAAAGCACCACCTCCAAATCGCATGCTCAACAAACAGCCCTCCAATCAATGGTCCCAGCACGCTCCCCAAGGCCCATGCTCCCAGCACAATAGCAAAGTACTTTGGCCTCTGTCTCAGCGGCACGATATCCGCAAAGATGACCTGACCCATGGTGATGATCCCACCACCCCCGATCCCCTGCACCGATCTGCCGGCAAAGAACACGGCGAAGCCCTTGGCAATGGGTGCGCACAAAGCCGTGCCTAGAGTGAAGAGCAGCACGCTCACAAAGAGCATCTCCTTGCGCCCAAAGATGTCCGACAAGGCGGCGATGAAGGGCTGGCATACAGCGCATGTGAGGAGATAGGACGTCCCCGCCCAGAAGGCGTCCGTCGATGTCCCCCCAAAGTCTTCAGCCAGCGTGGGCAGAACGGACACGAGGATGGTGGCGTCAAGCGCCACCATGAGACTGATGATGGCCATGGTGATCATGACTGCTAGCTCCTGCTTGCCAGGTTTCCAGTCCTCGAACGAGGGTATGTTTTCTTCGAGCTTGGACGGATCCAGAACGCGGACCAAGACCTCCTCATCCTCGTCGGTTGAGGACTCCCCCGTGCGTGGCGGTTGGCGGGTATGATGGTGCTGATTGATCATCGGGACGGGTTCCGAGTAGGAGCGATGGGGTCCCGGCGGATGATGGGAGGCTATTAGGGGTGCCATCGGAGGCAGGATGTCGGAGGTAGGCGACCCACTACCACGCTTATCCGGATCATTGTGGCGCGAGGTTGGCTGTTGATGTTGTTCGGACATCGGTTCTGGTTTTCCCTCGCTTTAGAAGTGACAGATGGGCTGAAAGGCGCGAAGTCAGCTTTAGCTGGATGCTGATATCTCCCAGGAGTAAAACCGGCGTCGTGTAAGCAAACTACTGAAACAACGGACCGGATATTACGTGGGATATGGGAATTCCTCGGGGTCAGATCTTGCCTGGGTAAAGATGGAAAACTAGAAGACAAGACCACTGGCAGCAACAAAAGCCCTATGAATCGGGAGAAAAAAAAGAGAATGGAGGATAACGGGAAAGAAGAGTATACTTTAAGTTTGAGTTTGCGGGGTGCTAATGAGCTTTCAATAACTCATTGTTTATGGGAAAGATGAAGTTTGAGATTAGAACCACCAGGACCAATTAGCCATTCTAGGTGAGATTCGCTATCGTTTAGACACATTGTGTGTGCTAAACCATGACGCTCGAGTGAGATAGCTGCCTCAATGACAAGCGTATGTTCTTCTCCTTCTCTCATCACTGGATGATGAATGCCATGCAAGGTGAGGTGGACCAGGCTAAAGCAAGGCTAATGAGGCGGAGCTGGACCCGTAACCAGAAGGGCCAAAGGTCCGTTATCACATCTCTCCTCTTCTCCTTCCCAATCCCTCGGCTCCTCCGGCCATGGTGCCGGGGTGGTTTTGTGTAAAAGTCATAATGATTCTTGGGGCGGGCCCTATAAGTCGAGATGGATCTGTAGTGGAGAGATTCCGGATGAACACGCCCGAAGAGGGTTGGTGGGGAACAACGACGGAATTACCGTCACTGAGCTGAGAGATGCGTTAGCTTGCTGTACCATAAAAGGGAAAGTGGTGATATCCATACATGAGCGATGTGAGTTATACTTTTGTGGCTCGGCTATGTAGGGCTATGTTCGGGGCCGCTGTACTGCTGTAGAGAAGGCTTTGTACATATTACCGTACACATAGCCCGCAGCTGCACTCCCTGTACAGTATGGCAACGGTAAGGCTCTTTCGAAAAGCTCTTTACTGCTATGTGTTTGTTGGTATTGGGCTGTGAGAAATTAAAGTGCTGTATTAATAGAGGGCATAGGTGCTGAGGTAGCTTGTTGCTGCTTCAAGTTCTTGCAGCCTTACACATGGGGTCAGGGGTTTTGAAGAAAGTTAAGAAATGCCAACATTTCAGTAAGGATCCTAGCCTTCTGATTGGTCAAATAGAACATTCAGATGGTTGCAGCGACTTGCAGACTTTTGCTTAAATCCAACCGAATACGAAAAGTGCAGCTTTAGACTGCACCTTACAGCCATCAGAACTGCCCGGTGTTCTCTACAGCTGTACAGCGGCCCCGAACACAGCCTAGGTAGGTAGTTAGGCAGGTACCTAGGCAAGTGAAAAGACGTGGTAGAAGAGTGAAGCAGAAGACGGACCAGTTGTTAGTTGTCAGACACCTGAATTGTGGCTGGCTATAAAATTGGCCAGAACATGTCGAAGCAAACAACAAAGTGAGCTAACTGGCAAATGGGTGTTGGGGCTGGACCATAAGTGCCTCCGTCCAGTTGGGAATGTTTGCTTCCGTGTACCTATGCGGCTATTTGATTGGCGCAACAAAGACCGCTTGACGTCTTCCATGGCTTGCGTTCATGGGCTCGTTTGACGGTTGTCCTTTTAGGGCTCAGCTCAGAGGAGGCGGGCACCATTTGGCATCTCGTTTGAACGGCGACATGACAGCGGAAAGCAACCCCAATACGGCTACCGTTGCCGATGAGCTGGCGACGGAGGTTCTTTTCTCTGGCTGTTCAGCTTCACAAAGTGCAGCCATGATCTGTAGACTGCGGCTCAACCGTCGTCACCTGCAAAATTGGGACCGCCGTGTTGGGGGCCATCAAGCCGAGCGGGCTGGCTGTACCATGCAGCAAACATATACTTATTGATAGGTATGCGCTTGGGCGACGAGATGGTGGTTGGGTAGTCGAACATGTCAGTCTGCGGCGCGGCGTCAATAACTCGACGGAGAGGGTTGATTGCTGATAAAGAAAAAAGGCCGCCCTCATTTTTCCAGCATTGTTGCGAAGTAATGGAAAGTGATGTTGGAGGAAAGCAGCCCGGCCTGATGCGATCATGGATGGAAGCCCTGCCGTGTCGGTTTGACGTTGAGCCGTCGCACAGGAGGTTCAGTTAAGGTACATACTTAGGTAAGCTATTCCAGCGTAACACCGGGCATTCAGTGGAACCCACCCCACGCCAAGACCGGTTTTTGTTGGGCGTCTGCCACCTACCGATCACTATATAGCGGACTCTGTTAGTACCTCTATCTGCTAAAGCGCCTTGTATTTCGAGTGGCACCGCGATCCACAGGTCCTAAAAAAAAAAAAAAAAAAGAAAAAAAAAAGTGTGTGATAATAGTACTCTAGATATTATGTTGGACCAGGAAGCGATAGATATTGAGATGTGCATGTGGATTGGAGAACTATCTGTGCGAGGGAGAAATCCCTGCTAAATGCTGGTGGTGGTTTGGATGTGAATGGTGGTGTGGGTCATCTCGGCACAGACCACACTTCCTACATAATATGGTGTTGATGGTTAGAGATAAGAAGAAGTGCAGAAATCCCATCAAAATGCAGCTTTTTATCCACCGCCCGTGTTAGGTACAGTCGGCGCCGTCCGAGACGTCTCAGGCCTTTTCGAGCTGACGCCTGTCTGACGTTTACACATTCACACCCTCGGCCGGCGCCACACCTGTCCACTCATCCATGATGAAGCACAGCAGCTCGTCTATCAGCGCCGATATCACGTGTTAGCCAAACGAGGTTGAGATAAATAAAACAAGCACCTGCATTGCAATGCCAATGGTAAAGTCATGGACCTCCAACGCCTCTACGGTAGATTGACACCCAGGAAAGCACATCACAACCCCCCAACAACCCCTTCCACCACATCCCCCAACATCCTCAACCCATAATATCTCGCCACATTCCTATACACCTTCAACCATCTCATCACCTCCTCCCTCTTGACCAGCTCCCTCCATTCTCCACTGCACGTACAATGCTCCATGAACTCGTTCACCCTCAGCGCCCCGCACTTGCCGCACTTGAGGTCCTGCGTCGTCCACTCCACCACCATGGCCTCCACCTCCGCCACCAGCCTCTCCTCAATCTCGTTCCTGTCGTAGTCCATTTCGCAGTAAGGGCATTTCCACCTTCCCTTTTCTTGTCCTGGAGCAGGTCCTTCCAACTCGCCGCCGGCCGCTCCGCCTGCTGCTGACACGTCAGAAACGGCTGCAAAACTCATAAAGTCCTCGTCTCGACAGAGATCAATGTCCCTAGCCATGGTACAGTTTTCGCAGCTGAACTGGGCCAGTTTCAGACTTTCCGATGGGTTTTGAAACGCGCCCTCCTTGCTGAACTCGCGTACGTCGAACATGGCGAGGAGTTCTTTGCGCAGCAGCCGCGCTTCGAGCGTGATGTTCTTGTCCAAAGACAAAACCTGCATCAGGGCCTTGACGAGCTCGAGCACCGGATTGGCCGACGCTGCTACTTTCTTTCCTGCCGCGTTCTTGGTACTACTAGACTTGGAATTGGACATAGACAGGTGAGACAGGTGAGATCCCGGTAGTTGGGGGAATGTGTAGTCGCCTGCCAGCTCCGGGTGCAGGAGCTCGCGCCTTTGCGTGTTGATGAGGTTGGCGATTTCCTTCTTCAGAGGCTTCTCAAAGGCTTTGCCGAGGATGATTTGCCCGACGGCGCCGTCCTCGCCGAGATTGCCATTGCGCATGTTGACGGGCAGTTGAGTGAGACGTGGCGTGGCTGTTGGGTCGCTGCCGAAAGAGGGTCGCTTGATGCTGTGCATCAGCTGGATGAACTCGACGACCCAGTCGCGGAAGATGGGCTGCAGACGGACAGGGAGAAAGGTTGCCATTTGCCAGTGCATAATCATCTGCAGGTCCTGTTCGTCCCTCTCGAGAACCTCTTGTGTCGCCTTGCCGCCGTAGTTGAACTCGTCATACCATACCAGGTAGTCCCAGTACTCCTTGATTTCGAGGTCGATAAAGTGAAAGAGTGGTTTGCCCTTGATGCTCTTGAGAATGTACTGGGTATATGCATACGCATTTCCTACCTCGGACTTGGTCGTCTGGAGGAGAAGTCTGTTGGAGCTGGCAAAGATAACCTGCGATCCTACGCGACGGAAATCGGCCATGAGCTGGAGGAGCGCCTTGCGGCTCATCATCTGGACGTAATAATGCAGAGCACGATCGTACAGACACGAGGCTGGTGATTCGACCCAACGGACCAAGTGCTGAACCATCACGTCGGCCATCGTGGACCCCTTGCAAGCTTCCGCCCACCATGACTTGACCATCTCACGGAGCACCTGCACGCCAGCATTGGCAAAAGCGTTCTCCGAATAAAGAAATTCTTCGCCGTCTCCACTACCGGTTGCATCGGCGGCGGGATTGAAAGATATGTTATCCGCACCTTCCAGCTCATTGATGAGCGAAGATGTGAGAATGGTGTTGATAGCCAAGTTCCGCACCTCAAGGTCTATACATACTGAGGCATAAGTACCGGGGTTGTTAACGGACGGCATCTGAACCTGATCGAGCGGGCCAACCACATCGTCCTTCTCATAGCCAGCGTGGTCGGGGCGCGGACTCGGTGACCACCAGAGCACGACATTGTTGGCCATGAGTCGGCGAGCATATGCGATGTCGATCAGGAAACGGGGATCGTCTCGCTCCAGGTTGCATAGCGGTACGTCGCCGTACCGAGCAAGAGCCGTCATATGGGTGATCCAGGAACCCAGGCTGAGGTAGTGATTGACCAACCGACGGGCCACCACACTTTGCCAGCCCAGTGGGGGCAGTGAGCTGTCCCCTTGATCATACCGCAATGGCATCACAGGGAATTCCCCCAAGATGGGAATCTCATGAACCAATAGATTGCGCTGTGAGGATTGGATGACCACCATGGTCGGTCCGGACTCTTCCTTTCTCAGTTTCTTGACAATGTCGCCAACCTCAAGGAAAGCT